TCGACGTTGTAATAAACATTTATATTGATATCAAACTATAGCATTGTTTTGTTCAATAGCAGTTTTTCTCAAATATTAACATGATACTTACATACATATGTGGGATATGTAGGATCTACATTGTAGATCGATCACAAAGGAAGTCCCGCTCCCGAGCGGGAGAAAGCGAGAGGTTTTAGTGTCACGCGGACCGTCCGGTGCGGACCCGCTCCGCACGGCCAATCTGTATGAACTTCTAGGGAGTGATTTAGGACCGCATCCGGAGGAACCGCTCGCTCCCTAGCAGTTCATACAGATCGGCTGTGCGGAGCGATCCGTACTGACAGTCCGCGTGACACTAAAACCAGCGGTCGATCTCCATATTCCACATAGTTTTTTGTAGTAACCAGTTGATAGGTGTCGCCACACGTATCTCATCTATCTTCCACAATATTATATTACTGACCACGACTATAATTATTTTTCATTTTATTTGACATATAATATCAGAAAGAAGAAACGATCGCTGCCAGCCAATGAAAAGCAGCCAAAACTCTGCAGTCATAGTTAAATTTACTTTTTCCACGATTCCCCTTATCAACTTTTTGAGTCATAGTAAGATATTATGTTCCAGGGTGCAAAGCTGATATCAGAAGGCGTGCTCCAAATAGCCAACGTGTCCCGCCACAATACCTCCGAGTTTGCATGCGTAGTCACCAATGTGGCCGGCTCTGCATATGCTAGCGTCAGTTTAGACGTGGAATGGGCACCGGCGTTTGAGGATAAAGGATACACTGACGTGGAAGTCGTGAGAGGAAATGATTGGTACTTCGACTGCGCTGTAGACGCAAAGCCCAGGGCGAAGGTATGTTTTGTTTTTGCTCTTCAATATTTCTCTTAATAAGGCACTCGTTCGTTTCAGCCAAATGACGTCCACTGCTGGACAAAGGCCTCCTCCAAGGTTTTCCACAATGAACGGTCCTTCGCTGCTCGCATCCAGGCTCTTCCTGCGACCTTCACCAGATCGTCGGTCCACCTAGTAGGAGGCTTACCCACGCTACGTCTTCCAGCCCGTGGTCGCCACTCGAGAACTTTCTGCCCCAACGGCCATCGTCTCTACGAGCTATGTGCCCCGCCCACTGCCACTTTATTTTAGCAATTCTGTGAGCTATGTCGGTCACTTTGCCGTACTCCATCTCTTCCTCTGATACTCTACTCTCGCTGGTATGTGTAGTGGTGACCAATGTAGGCGGCTCCGCTTATGTCAGGGTCAGTTTAGACGTGGAATGGGCTCCGGCGTTTGAGGATAAAGGATACACAGACGTGGAAGTTGTGAGAGGAAATGATTGGTTCTTCGACTGCGCTGTAGACGCAAAGCCCAGGGCGAAGGTATGTTTTGTTTTTGCTCTTCAATACTTCTCTTAATAAGGCACTAGTGTGTACGAGTACAAGTTGGGTTGGACCTACTCGTTCGTTCGTTCGCTTTGGAGCTCACGGGTCAAAAGTGGCCCGGTCCTTTACAGGCTTGCGTGGGGATACAGATCCAACATGTAGAGGCCGTTTTAAGCGCAAAATAATCGACAAAAGTGAAAGTAGTGCACATGCTGGATCTAGTCTCTGACTATATCATGGGGTGTAGCCAGAGACCATCCCAGCCTGTGCACAGGAGCTATTGCAGTTATTGGAGAATGGACTAGGGTTATGGATGAAGGATGGAGGGACTGGTTATATATTCTCTACGAGCTATATGCCCCGCCCACTGCCACTTGATTTTAGCAATTTTGCGAGCTATGTCGGTCACTTTGCCTTATTCCATCTCTTCCTCTGATACTCTATGTCGCTGGTATGTGTGGTGGCGACCAATGTGGCCGGTTCTGCGTATGCAAGTGTCTGTTAGACGTAGAATGGGCTCCAGCGTTTGAAGATGATGGAAACACAGAGGTTGAGGTCGTGAGAGGAAATGATTGGTACTTCGACTGCGCTGTAGATGCCAAGCCAAGGGCGAAGGTATGTTTTGTTTTGCTCTTCAATATTTCTCTTAATAAGGCACTAGTGTGTACGAGTACAAGTTGGGTTGAACCTACTCGTATATTGCCGTATTCCATGTCTTCCTCTGATACTCTACTGTCGCTGGTATGTGTGGTGGTGACCAATGTAAGCGGCTCAGCTTATGTCAGGGTCAGTTTAGACGTAGAATGGGCTCCGACGTTTGAGGATGATGAAGACACGGAGGTTTTGAGGTCGTGAGAGGAAATGATTGGTACTTCGACTGTGCTGACGCCAAGCCGAGGGCCAAAGTTTGTTCTTTTTGACATTTTTCTCACACTCAGGGAAACTCTGAGCATAGCACGCTCCTTCGCCCTTTAGGTGAACCTTCTTATGAGGCCCATAGTAAGCGACCACGTCTCAGATCCGTATGTCATCACTGGCAATACACTGATCTGCGTGATCGAATCAGAAATGAGGAGATCCGCAGGAGAACCAAAGTGACTGACATAGCCCGCAGAATTGCTATTATAATACTTTTTATATGTATATACAAGTCATGTTTATGTAATTGCAGACCAAATGGCTGTTCAACTCGAAGTTGATAGTGTTCGAGGACAAAGAGCGGCTGAAGCTGCTAAATGTCCAGCTGCGACACACCGGTACATATAAATGCATCGTCAGCAACAAACACGCTACTGTGTCTAGGCAGTTCACTCTGGATGTTTTAGGTAAATTATGTTTATTTTATAGGACATACGGTCCAATTTAGCAATGCATACGATATCTGCAGGGTGGAAACGATAAGTGACCGAGATTATTTCTAAACTATACAAGATATCGAAAAACTGGTTACTGATTGTGAAAGTGCTTCACTAGCTCTTGTAAACGGTATCAATTTTAAAGGTTACAGAATAAACTGGATCTATGCGAAAATTCGAATGAGATCACTTATCGTTTCCACCCTGTATAGAGATCCATTTAATCTTTACTATCGAGTTCCATTGCCACGAATAAAAATTAAGAACATATTATGGTTTCTTCCAGTTCCTCCTTTCATATCAGAGTTTGATCTGTTGGACGTGCAACTGAAAGAAGGCACCAATGCTACTCTAGAGTGCAACGCCAAGGGCTCGCCTCAACCTGACGTCAAGTGGACTTTTAAGTACGTAAAATGGCAATAAAAATGCTTGTTGAATTATAGCTTTTAGTCACTGAAGTTTTGCACCTAAATCAAATTTATTGAGAGTAGATGTTTGTATTTCTTTACTGTGCTTAAAATTTTTGTCAGCTTAGCTTTTTGATCCCTCAGGCTTGAGGTAAAAGTAGGTAACTTAAAAATAATGCAACAATGTCCAGCAGTCCTAAGTTTTAAGCTAGCATAAGTTTAAACTAAAAAGAACTCTATTAATTACCAACAGCAACTCAAACTGGCAAGTCCAAAACTCTTCGCTCGTCAGCACTAGCTTGTCCGAGGCTTCCGAAGGCCTATACCGTTGTGACGCGGTCAACAAGGCTGGTACTGCGCACATTGTGTATAGAGTGAGTGTGGTGGCCGCAGCCAGAATAACGGAGGTCGTGCTTTATAATGGAGAGGCTTCTACGGTGGACAAAGTAGCTGAAGTCGTGGTGAGTTTCTTTTCTAGCGATTAGTCGTACACTTTCAGGATCAAATGCATGCACAGCCTCCTTGGATGACAAGAATAGTGACAGAGAAACGACGGGGTGTTACCGTTTTAGTGGTTTTCTTCAAATCTACTATTGAGTGAAACTTCGAGTAGGACACCCAAAACTCATCAGCACCATAGTATATTTTTATCAGCATCTTATTAAACCTGCTGAAAAATAGTGCTTTATACCATTTTTCTGGAAAAATATTTTCATTTCATTGCATTATATTGAAACATACCTCATCATCTTTCAGGAAAGCACTAGGGCAAGAATATCCTGCAAAGCATCAGGCAAGCCTGTACCAAAGATTCAATGGATACGCAACGGCGAAGCGATCGGCGAAAACGATGAGAGCATAAGCTACGCTGACTTGGTTTTGAAAGATGTGAAACTGAATGACGCCGGCGTGTATGCATGCGTAGCGTCTAATGAAGGAGGAGTGGCTGAAGAGAAAATTCGGTTGGAGGTGTTAGGTAGGAGTTAATTTAGTTTACAAAATAATATAACTAACCCACAAGGACAGACGACCTCAAGAAAGGCGCTGGATGCAGGCCGCTACGAATCGGGCGATGTGGAAATCATTTGGGGAGGCTTATGTTCAGCAGTGGACGTCTTTTGGCTGAAATGATGGTGATGATGATTAACTAATGGGAGCAGTTTTGTCTGAGCAAACAATGGACACATTAAAACACCACAGATTTCTTATATTTAATGCAACATGTACAGTCACGGAATGAAAAGGTTCGTCAGTTTTCAAATTGATTCCTTCAAAGAATCGCGAGCACATATTACCTTTTGAAACTATGTTACAGAATAATCTCGAGTTAGAGAAAATAACCTTTAACTGTTCGTCATTAAAGTTCAAAATTATTCAGATCAAAGTTGTTTGAAGATTTATCTTGTCAAGAAGATTATTACGATTCATAAACTAAAACCTTCTTGTTGGTTCAACCTGTTATTATTATTTCTTTTAAATAAAAAAAACTATTGTCAATTGGTCAATGTCATCATTGCATTGCACTGATGGGATAGAAAAATAAACAAGCAAAACCTTATTCGTTAGCAAACGTTATATTTATTTAAATGTTAGCAGCACTGTTTCTTGCACGGTTATGTTGGCAGGTTTGACTCTTACAGTACCTAGTGCAAGCGAAAACCGACACTAAGGTGACGAACCTTTTCATTCCGCGACTGTACTTTAGTCAAGTATTTTTAGACAAAAGGCAGAAGTGCAATCCACCCATAATAAAACTGTTGGATTAACATAAACTTTTGCAACTTAATCATGTCACTGTAATTATTATCAGATTTAGGATCATGCACGCACATATATCATTACTCCAGCTGAAATTATTTATTTTCAGAGCCTCCAAAAATATTCCAAACACTGTTCCAAGATAACTCCACCGTCGAAGTCAATTTGGAAGTAATAACAGGCCAGTCTTTTTACCTGCACTGCCATCCTTACGGCAATCCTTTGCCTGAAATCTATTGGTTCAAGGTACTTATCATTTCTACCAAATATGGAAGCATTTTAATTGGGTTTTAAATAATAATACAGTTCTCTCAGGCTTAATAGATATATTATAGGACACTCCAACAAAATATACTCGTTAAATGACCACCTATATGATACCGTAGTCCTTTTATTCGAGTTGCCCATTTCTCTTTTGAATCAGAAAAGGTATTTTTCGAATTATATCTTGATTGGTGACAGTTTGCTAGAGCCATTTCTCACTAAACGAGTCCTGCATATAGCTTCTTTTAGTGCTGCAAAAAAGGTTTATGATTATTTTTCTTAATCCTTCAAGGCCCGCGAATCTAGACACAATAGATAATCAATTGTTATGACATTAATTAATGCCGTCTGGGACTCAAGCGGTTAAAGAAGATTTGGATCATTCTGCAGGATGGGCTACTACTAAGGTTGTTCGACGACAGCTTGGTATCGAGCGAATACGGCGAAGTCCTTCAAGCCAGAGCAGCGGTGACGAGCCACGCGGGCAACTATACGTGCGTTGCAAGGAATGCCGTCGGCAACGCGAGTCTGGTGTACTTACTTGACGTCATGGGTAAGTGATTTTATGTATTTTTAGGACTCCTCAGTTAAAGTTTGAGATAAAATGGTCTTTATCAAGTGTACTACGACGTCATTAGAGAGTGATTTTTTTTTGTAATAACAAATTACTAATAGTCCCGTTAGCCCCTCGTACTAAGCTAAATAAGCTTGTATCACGAGTGAACTCACCACAATAGTCCGAGGGACCGAACCCTTGTTCCCCGGATCACGAGTCGGCCAGTTCGACCCCTTTACCGTTCGGCTATCGTAGCTTTATTCTAGTCAGTCAGTGGCGCTAACTGGAGAATGCTTCATGTGGCGAAGTAATGCTATGATGATAAAATCGTAATATTGTTTACAGTTCCCCCACCAATACCAAAAGAAAGCGCCAAGCTAGTGACAACCCGCGCGGGCAGAGCGTTACAATTAAAATGCCCTGCGGAAGGCAGCCCTGTGCCGGCCGTGATGTGGCTCAGGCATCCCTACACCGAGCTAAGTGATGGCTCGCCGAGAGTCGCCTTGCTCGATGACAACTTTACTCTCGTAAGTAAGAGTAAAGTCCGGTTGACGAGCTGATAGAATGTTCGTCTAATGACACACACTCACTGCGGCTACCTGTCACAAAGTCGCGATAGCAATATAATTACGTGCGAGTGATAAAGATGGGTAGCTTGGGGTCATTGGACGAAATTCTATCTGTTCAGCGACCGGACTTTATAAAGCAAGCGTCAAGCTAGTGACCAGTCGTGTAGGTAGAACGTTAGGGTTGACATGCCCTGCAGAGGGCAGCCCTGTGCCAGCTGTGATGTTGCTACGGCATCCCTTCGCCTTTACTCGATTACCCTCGTAAGTTATAAGAACAAAATGCCACGCCTAGAATTCATGTTAATTGTTGATAGAAAATCGACAACTCTTAGGCTACAACTTTTTGCTTTTTATATAATATTTTACAGAGCTGCGTAAAATGTGACTAGTTTTTTTTTAAATAAGGAGGTTTTACGTTCCTAGAGACATTTTTAATTTTGTTCCAGATAATAAACAACACAGAAGTCTCCGACAGCGGAAAATACTCCTGCATAATGACGAACAAAGTGGGCACAACAGAATTGGTGTTTGACGTGACAGTGGAAATGCCGCCTTCCATCGCTGGCAACACCGCTGCTCAAGACACGAGTGTGGAGCACCATGTGGTGCCTTTGATGAGGAGCCTCGTGCTCAAATGTGAGGTAGATGGTAACCCTGCGCCGAAGGTCAGCTGGCTCAAGGTAATTTGAACCTTTTTTGTGCAATTTTATAATTTATAATTAAATGACAATGATGTCCAAGGTGAGAGTGAGCCATGTTGTATCGCTGATGAGAAATCTTGCGTTCGTGAGGTAAAATGTAATGCGAAGTTGGGCTGGCGAGTAGAAATACAGTTCTAGTTATGCGATGGGTACTAAATGATTGTAGTTACTAAATAGGTTAGCTGGTTTCAGACTGTGAGACTAGTCGTTGAATTATCTGTCAATCCCAACTACTAATATTATAAATGCGAAAGTAACTCTGTCTGTCTGTCTGTCTGTTACGCTTTCCCGCTTAAACCTCGCAACCGATTTTGATGAAATTTGGCATAGAGATAGTTTGAGTCCCGGGAAAGAACATAGGATAGTTTTTATCCCGGTTTTTGAAACAGGGACGCGCGCGATAAAGTTTTTCTGTGACAGACAAAACTCCACGCGGGCGAAGCCGCGGGCGGAAAGCTAGTCTTGCATAAAGCAGGCAGTCGAAAAATTCGCATTTACTTAGCTGTAGCGGCTTGACGTTGTCACAGTTTCATCATCATCATCATTGTCAGCCATAGGACGTCCACTGCTGAACATGGCCTATGTTCAGCAGTGGATTTCCCCCAATGCAGGCCGCTACCAATCGATCAACATGGAAAGCATTGAGGGAGGCCTATGTCACAGTTTAGCCACCCACAAATAAAGCCTCAACACAGCAAATACGTTGCAATTTTTATTAGTTGCATCAACGTGAACAAAAACGGACGTTGATGATATTTATCGTGAGAAATAGGAAAATAATAAGTGTCGTACTTTCCTTCAGGACACACAGCGCCTCAGCGACTCGCTGTCCANGATACCAAAGGAAAGCGCCAAGCTAGTGACAACTCGAGCGGGCAGAGCGTTACAATTAAAATGCCCTGTGGAAGGCAGCCCTGTGCCGGCTGTGATGTGGCTCCGGCATCCCTACACCGAGCTAAGTGATGGCTCGCCCAGAGTCGCCTTGCTCGATGACAACTTTACTCTGGTAAGTTTTATTAATAGTATAAAGTGCCAAGCTAGTGACGATCCGCGCGGGCAGAGCGTTACAGTTAAAATGCCCTGCGGAAGGCAGCCCTGTGCCAGCCGTGATGTGGCTCAGGCATCCCTACACCGAGCTAAGCGATGGCTCGCCCAGAGTCGCCTTGCTCGACGACAACTTTACTCTGGTAAGTTTTAACAGTATAAAGAAAATGCCAAGCTAGTGACCACCCGTGTAGGTAGAACCAGGCCTGTTCATCTCCGCGAGTTTACATCGAAAACAAAACTATTCGACAAGGCCTTACATACGAGCGAACATTGACTCACGCACGCGTATTCTTGTGTATGATGGAAGAAAATAAAGAAAATGGTGTACTAAATACTGTGCAGTATTTAACTGCCTAAATAATAATAAAAACACATAATGTACTTTTTTAAGTTGCCTCAAGACACTGAGAGGTATATAAGTAGTTAATATTATTCATGATAATTCATGCTAAATCATGTATTTCCTCCGCCATTTTCCGCAGTTTGGCACCTCACGTCACATCATTAATTACCGAAGTCAGCCCTATAGCTTCGGCGCAGTGCCGAACTCTGACATTTGTCAACAAAGTGGTGCTTGTCTCTTGAGAAAGGCTAAATTACACCATATTGTTAATGACATTGAGCATAATTTTTTTTAAATACCTTCGCGAAGTAAAACTTCTGTACGTAGTACTTATTATTATTCTGTGGTAGAACGTTAGGGTTGAAATGCCCTGCAGAGGGCAGCTCTGTGCCAGCTGTGATGTTGCTACGGCATCCCTTCGCCTTTACTCGATTACCCTCGTAAGTTATAAGAACAAAATGCCACGCCTAGAAGTCATGTTAATTGTTGATAGAAAATCGACAACTCTTAGGCTACAACTTTTTGCTTTTTATATAATACTAGCTGACCCGGCGAACTTTGTTCCGCCTTAATGGCAATAAATAACGGGATAAAAAGTATCCTATGTCCTTCTCCTGGCTCTAAACTACCTCCCTGACAATTTTCAGCTAAATCAGTTCAGCCGTTCTTGAGTTATAAGTGGAGTAACTAACACGACTTTCTTTTATATAATAGATAGATATAGATTTTACAGAGCTGCGTAAAATGTGACTAGTTTTTTTTTATAAAATAAGGAGGTTAAAAAATTCCTAGAGATATTTTCAATTTTGTTCCAGGTAATAAACAACACAGAAGTCTCCGACAGCGGAAAATACTCCTGCATAATGACGAACAAAGTGGGCACAACAGAATTGGTGTTTGACGTGACCGTGGAAATGCCGCCTTCCATCGCTGGCAACACCGGCGCTCAAGACACGAGTGTGGAGAACCATGTGGTGCCGTTGATGAGGAGCCTCGTGCTCAAATGTGAGGTGGATGGCAACCCTGCGCCGAAGGTCAGCTGGCTCAAGGTAATTTTAACTTTTTTGATGGTGACATGTGACATGCCTCTTTCCATCACTGGTAGTGACAAAGAAACAAGCATGGAGCGTCATGTGGTTCCGTTGATGAGGAGCCTTGTGCTCAAATGTGAGGTGGATGGCAACCCTGCGCCGAAGGTCAGCTGGCTCAAGGTAATTTGAACTTTATTGATGGTGACATGTGACATGCATGCCTCTGTCCATCACTGGTAGTGACAAAGAAACAAGCATGGAGCGTCATGTGGTTCCGCTGATGAGAAGCCTTGACTGAGAAGAAGAATGTGAGGTAGATGGCAACCTTGCCCGAAGGTCAGCTGGGTCAAGGTAATTTGAACCTTATTTAAGATACGCTATACGTCATATTCAAATAGGGGTTGCAGTCTCTACCTGTTCAAGATGTGAGTGTAAAAAACCACGTGTCGCGCCGACAAGGAATCTTTTGCTCAAGTGTGAGGTAGAACGTAATATTACGAAGATCCCCTGACAAGTAGCAACACCCATTTGACATTGAATAGTTGCGTTGCAGATCCCAAAGAGAAACTCGAAAACTCGCAGCGGGGATTCTTTAACATAAAATTATAGGCGCTGGTGAATTCTAACAATTATTATTATTATTGACGACTTTTAAGTTGTTAGCATGTTACGCGTTAGTTGCAAAAAGACAAGATGAATCTCCAAGTTGCTATCAATAAAAAATATTCATTTTTGTATTCGATATTGATATTATAAATTATATATATTGTATAACTTGTTGGCGCGTTGGACTTTCTGTAAGCCTTCAAGCAGATTATAAATAAATAAATAAACAGATTGGTAAGAAAGCAGGTAGCATTATAGTAGGTCGCGAAACATTTTGGTGCTTTCATTAAATCATTTCATTTAAAAAAAATCGTTTATGCATCTTCAATCAGCGTACAGGAAACCTGACGCTGATGACACTATCTGCCTACGTATTATTCCAGGACACACAGCGCCTCAGCGACTCGCTGTCCAGCATACAGCACGTGCAAGGCCACAGCTTGCTGGCCGTCTGGGGCGCGCGGGCTCGCGACGCGGGCCAGTACATCTGCGTGGCCGAGAACACCGCGGGCACCGCGCATCGGCGGTACAACGTGGCTGTCAGAGGTATGTCCAGGACACACACCCTCAGCGACTCGCTGTCCAGCATACAGCACGTGCAAGGCCACAGCTTGCTGGCCGTCTGGGGCGCGCGGGCTCGCGACGCGGGCCAGTACATCTGCGTGGCCGAGAACACCGCGGGCACCGCGCATCGGCGGTACAACGTGGCTGTCAGAGGTATGTAAAAATCTAATAGCAATCGAAAATTTTAGTTATGCAATATCTCTTGAAACTTTGTCCAAGTACGCATATACGCTTGTGCATGTAACTATTTCATTAATCATTTTCGGTAGTGTGAGGTCTTTTCCCGTTTTTTTTTCCGTCGAAACATACTTTGCGCATCCATAAAGTATCAGGAACTCCCTAGCCAGAAGGGCGCTTCTGGCGGGCCTACCCACAAAACTAACTACCCAGAGTGGCGGCGTAGTTGTGTTTACGTATTATGACATATCAGATAGCCAATGGTCCTGCCCCTTACACCCCTTGACGTGTAGATGCGCCAGCGACTACTAATCTGCGCGACTGAATTGGCACCCTATGCGGACCGCCCCTAACCGACCGACCTAACACCGCCAGTGCTAAAACCTATGGTGTCCTCAGGAGCGAATACAGCGATACAGAGCCGCGAGTTATTATCCTATCTAGGACATTCGTTCGCTGCTCTATCTCAGGCTATGGCTAGCTCTCGAGCGAGCCTTTATTCTTTTGCTAACAGCTTGTTTAGTAACTTTTTGATGTCGTGACTTCTTTTTCAACCGACTTCAAAAAAGGAGGAGGTTCTCAATTCGACCCGTATGTTTTTTTTTTCTATGTTTGTTACGCGATGCCAATTATGAACCGATTTGAACAAATCTTTTTTCGGCTTATAGGTAATACCTCAAGGGTGGTCCCGTTTAAATTTAATAATAGAAAAAACAACCCTCAAGGGTGGAAAATTGGGGATAAACTTTTTTATACGCAATATTTTTAATTTTTAGTTTTTTTTTGAGTTCACGCATTTGAAGTCGGTTTTATTTTTTTTAAAGTTATGTTATTATCATTGATTAGATTTGTAAGTATTTTTATTGAATAACCTTTACTGTGCAGTCCCGGGCAAGTGGAGCGGCTGGTCGGCGTGGGGGCTGTGCAACGCCACGTGCGGCGCCGGCGCACAAACCCGCGCAAGACGCTGCCGCTACCAGGCTGACGACGGGACCGTCTACGGTCAGTCTCATAATACTTCTTCATGGGCGCCTTCAATTTAGACGTTTCGTGTCGGACGTTTGTCGAACGTTTGCAGGACCGCACACTGTAAATTGTATGCGTAGAATAAAATTTACAGTTAGTGTGAGGTCTTGCAAACGTCCGACACGAAACGTCTAAATTGAAGGCGCCCTTACAGTATTTTATTTAAGGAAAAATATTATGTTTTCAATTGTGGTAATAAGTTACAATGGTCCAACGGTCTAGCACCGTCCACCAATATACAGGGTGTCCCGTAATGTAACGTCAAGCCGGAACTGGGTGTTGAGGCAAGTTATGCTGGTTATCAGAAAAATATAAAAAAAAATCTATGTGGCATATTTTCAAAATAANTATTTCTACTGTAGTGGCTTAGCTATGTGGGACTCTCCAGCCAGAAGGGCCTTCTGTCCGGCCTACACACTAAAACTTAATGGTGTCCTCAGGAGTCAATGATACATTTCAGTGAGAGCCTCAAGTTATTGTCGTATCTTGGACATTCGATCGCGGTTTCGTTTCAGTCTATGGCTAACTCTCGAACCTCCACGACTTCGAGGGTAATAGTGGTGGTGGTCCCCTTGCGCCTTCCGCTAAAGCCACACAGGACTTTATTCTTACACAGCTTGTCTACTAGGTTACTAAGGCTGAGTAGCACCACCTAAATTAGACGGTAACTATAACGATAACTGATGGTTTTGTATGGAATTTAATAGATTTTTGACGTTTGTCAAAGTTAAAGTAAGATGGTGCAACCCAGCCTAAAAGTTTATGATGTCGTCACTTCTAATGATTATTAGATTTGTTGGTATTTTTGCATAGTTACCATCGGCCAGACACATCATCTGACCTCTCTTCCAGTTTTCCGTTCCACTGATTCGAGGAGAGGGAAGACGAGTGCGTGCGCCTGCGTCTGCGCAACTTAAAATATCCTGCGCACCTGATCGCTTCCGTCTAAAGGACTCCGATGGATGGATGGTATTTTTGTTGAATAACCTTTATTGTGCAGTCCCGGGCAAGTGGAGCGGCTGGTCGGCGTGGGGGCTGTGCAACGCCACGTGCGGCGCCGGCGCACAAACCCGCGCAAGACGCTGCCGCTACCAGGCTGATGACGGGACCGTCTACGGTCAGTGTCTTAATTATATCTACTGTTTACACTGTGTAAACGGTTTCTTCTTTCGTTTCGTTTTCAGCCAAATGACGTCCACTGCTGGACAAAGGTCTCCCCCAAGGTTTTCCACAATGAACGGTCCTGCGCTGCCCGCATCCAGGCTCTTCCCGCGACCTTCACCAGATCGTCGCTCCACCTAGTAGGAGGCCTGCCCACGCTACGTCTTCCAGCCCGTGGTCGCCACTCGAGACGATGCCCCAACGGCCATCGTCTCAACGTATTGTATGCGTAGAATAAAATTTACAGTTAGTGTGAGGTCTTGCAAACGTCCGATACGAAACGTCTAAATTGAAGGCGCCCTTACAGTATTTTATTTAAGGAAAAATATTATGTTTTCAATTGTGGTAATAAGTTACAATGGTCCAACGGTCTAGCACCGTCCACCAATATATATATTGTATGTATTTTTTTAAAAGCTTCAGTGACTAACGATCTGCCAGCGGATAGCACCTGAATGCGAGCAGCATAGGACCGGTCGTTATGGAAATATCTGGGGGTCACCATTGTCCAGTTGCCGTCCTTTGTCTGAAACGAAAGGTCAAGTCCCATGGCAGTGGTAATTTCTATACAGATTGGGAAACTGGCTATATGTACCTATTAACTTACCCCCTTACTAATAAAAAGTTACACAGTTGTTGGACACTTTTAAAATGACATTTCCATACTAAACGTCACTTTAAAACACTGTTCAACGAGCGTGTAAGTTTTATTAGTAAGGGGGTTAGCTTTTATTATTTTTCGTTTCAGATAAGACGACGAATTCTGATAGAATAATTTTGGACGAATCCGAATGCAAAGGACCGACCACCGACAAAAGGAAATGTCATATGCCACCGTGTGAAGTAAGTTCCATAGGGAAATGTTCACTGCATGTAGATAATAGTTGAAGGTATATTTACATAGTTACGGAACGGATATTATGCGTGCTCCGGATATAGCATGATTTCAGAACTAACATGTATTTGCGTGAGATCATTCAAATTAGCAAGTGCAAGCGCGTGTGATCAAACGAAAGCGAAATACGTTAACACACCGTGTAACATACTTTTATGTCATAAAATTATCGCTCGCATCTACCTATGTCGTGCTTACTTGTTTTGAACCTTATTTCGGGTATACAGAACACACAGTTAATTTATGAAATCCACTAGGACCATTCAGGCCACGCGTTGGGGACTATGGCGTGCTACATCGTTACCTTGGTTGCATCTACTTCATGCAAATTATTTTGAACCTTATTACATCTCAATGAAGTTCAAAATACAGTGACCATAAGGTAAATTCAACAGGATGATTTATGTGGTATTGAACTTTCAAAGTCAAAGTCAAAGTATTTATTTGCAAAGAATAGGTACAATGGTTCGTGTTCCATTTCAACTAAAATATATTAGAAATTATTTTAGGATGATGGATGTGGTATTTTTATAATCCTTGGCGCTCATTTGTTTTGAATCTTATCGCAATAAAATATAATTCCAAATACATTACATCAATAGTATGTTATAATAATCCACCAGGATGAAGTAGTAACGCGTTGGGGCCCATGGTCTCGCTGGACGGCGTGTTCCGCGTCGTGCGGCGCGGGCACGCAGGCGCGCGCTCGTCGATGCCGCGGCCCACAGCCCTGCTATGGAGATAATGTGCAAGTAAGACAATATTACAATATACGATGATTATTCGATAGATTTTAGAGGGCAACACAAGATGATGACGACACCAAAATAATTTATTCTATCGCATTAGGTTATTGACCTGTAAAGATAGTTTAAGTTGGTGAAAATAAATAAATAAAAAAAAACATTAAACTGTAAATCTTGCAGGGCTACTCCTCAACGCTGTTTATACGTAGTTTCGGTTCTATCTGTCACTGTCGCTCTGGCATATCTCCTACGTGAGAGATATAAAAACATTTGAACTTCGGATAACGTTTTTGGGACTAACCTAGCTGGCTACACGGGGGTTACAGCGATATATCGAAATGTAAATACATTGTCGTCAAATTCAATAAGGTACGGAACTAATCTCTCCTCTCGTACCCACCGCTGCAAGTTCCAGAATCTACAGTTTGACCACTAATACAAACCTAACCTTAAGCCCAAGTTTGGCCTGGGAGAAAGTTCATTGGACCTTCTGAATTTCAGATAAGAAAATGTCCCAATCTGCCAAAATGTGAGCCTATCTCTGAAAAGCGAGACGTCGAATATTTTAGCAGCAGCGAACAAACGACAGAGACGGTAAGATAGTCTTGATTTATTAAATGATTTCGGATACTAATAATTTTCTACTTGAGCCTAAATGATGATTGTAAATTGTAATATTGTGACTGAAATTCTTTAACGTATTAGGACCCTTACTTGCCCGAAGCGACTTACGAAATGCAACCGGAAGCTATGGCACCACCACCAGATGTAGAAGAATTTCACATTAAAGCAGGTTTGTTAATGTTTTATTATTTTATTTCAATAATATTCCTGTATTCAGTTGGATGGTTCGAATGGTCCTTTGCCTTCCAAACTATTAACTTAGGCTGACAAACGTCAAAAATCTGTCAAACTCCATACAAAAAGCAACGGTTATTGTTAAAATAAGGTGGTGCAACTGAGCCTTAGAGTTGCCTGTTTCAGAACCGAAACCATCTTCCGTTTACGATGTGAACGTGACCAGCAATCTGGACTTCAGCGAGCGCGGCCCGTGCCGGCCCGGGTACCGCCACAACCGGACCACCAACACCTGCGACGGTTAGTGATCTCACCATCATCAGGTCATTCAGTATCCACTGCAGGAGGAAAAATATAGGGTTTTGTTTACGCTACCGTCACAACCGGACCACCTATACTTGTGACAGTTAATGATCTCATCAACATCATCAGTTTGTTTAGTCTCCACTGCAGAAGCAAGACTCTCTCTAAGGATTCTACACTCCCCACGCTGGCTAGGCGGGTAGAATTGAAGAGGCCTGATGTTCGCATATTATGTGTTCCTTAGATCCTGTAGATACGCTAAAATTCGCGTGGGCCGCACGCGTCTCTGCACGTCACAATAGAGGTGATTCTAGCGCTCGGCGGCCGCTGCCGCGGCACGCTTCGCTCACCTTCGCGCAAAGGGTCAACTGTTCNTTATATTTCAATAATATTCCTGTATTCAGTTGGATGGTTCGAATGGTCCTTTGCCTTAAACTTAATCTTTACTTTAAAAAACGTCAAAAATCTGTCAAACTCCATACAAAAAGCAACGGTTATTATTAAAATAAGGTGGTGCAACTGAGCCTTAGAGTTGCCTGTTTCAGAACCGAAACCGTCTTCCGTATATGATGTGAACGTGACCAGCAATCTGGACTTCAGCGAGCGCGGCCCGTGCCAGCCTGGCTACCGTCATAATCGGTCCACCAACACCTGCGACGGTTAGTGATCTTATCATTATCAGGTAACCTCTCTAATTTTTCAGAGGCAAGTTAAGGATCTGGCCCCCACGTTGACCAGACCAGTTAGGAACGTCTGATCTTCGCATATTATGTGTTTCTGAATGCCTACGCTAAAACTCGCGCTGGCTGCATGCGTATCTGTATCAAAAAGTATTGTATGAGCAGTTTGAGCAGCGCAATGTTGCGAAGGCAGTTTTGACGGAGTGGGCACCTCACAGGAAGAGTGGGAGTGGTTTTATTCTACTCTGCCGAAACCACACGCCTAGTAAATATTCTTTCTTTATATGCTTACAAGTAAATCTTACATATTTTAAAATTAATCAACGTATACGACTCTTGTTTTCACCGTTGTTGTCTTTTTTGTGCCTGATGAAATAAATATGAACTAAACGAATTTGCGTTACAGACATAGACGAGTGCAGTATCGAGTACAACCAGTGTCACTCTACGCAAGTTTGCGGGAATACCGCGGGCGCCTACCGCTGCTCGTGCCCGCCCGGCTTCTCCTCGCTCGGGCCGGGCCAGCGCTGCTTGGGTGAGTGCTCGTGTGACTACACATCGCTCAGTGTCGAGCACAACCAGTGTCAAGCGACCAGCTGTGCGGAACACTGCGGGTGTCAACCGCTGCTCGTGCCCGCTCGGCTTCTCCTCGCTCGGGCCGGGCCAGCGCTGCTTGGGTAAGTAGTTGTATTTGTAACTTATTTAATCGCTACTCCTTCTGTGTCGTCACCATTCAGCATATAGCAGCACACATCTGGACTTTGGCTTCTCCCAATATACGCTATTTCGTCTGTGTAGATTACCATGCAAACAAAGTAGAATGAACCATTAGGCCGTAATCCTAGAGACGCCATAAGAAAAAAAAGAAGAACGCCCATTAGGACCTCCGCTAAAACTTGTGCAGGTGCCAGCGGCATTCACCTGCCTACCCGCCGCCATAAAAATATACGCCCGTGGCGTGCACCCGTTATGGGTAAGCGGGTACGGGCGTACCCGTGCGCTACTCATATTAATTTTCGAGTGCGCGGGCGCCCACGCCTGTTTTAGTGAAGGCCCTAATGATCCACTAACGCATTGTAAATAAAAAAAACCATAGAGAGATGCCAACAACGCTGAGTTCGAAACTCAATGTCACATTAGAAATACACACACACAAAAAAAATCTAAATATGTGCTCATTGTCCACTGTCTTTAGTACTACGCAAGCAATGTAAACTGTTTTCATTATGACGTCGCTGCTGTCATTATTGCTTTCACGAGCAATGAATTCTGTTTTTGGGCATATTGCTGCGACACCNCGTCGCTCGGGCCGGGCCAGCGCTGCTTGGGTAAGAACTTGTTATCGTAACTAACGGGAGTATTAGTAATTTGTGAAATAACAAATTACTAATAATCTTTAAAAAAAATAAATTACCCGCTACTTCTTTCGCGTCATCACCATTCAGCCTAGGAGCATACTTCTGGACTTTGGCTTCTCCCAATACACGCTATTTCGTCTGCGTAGATTACCATACAAACAAAGTAGAATGACCCATTAGGACGTGGCCGTAATATCCCAGAGATGCCATAAAAAAATAAGAACACCCATTAGGTCCTTAGAGCCTCCGCTAAAACTTGTGCATGTGCCAGCCGCGTGCGCCTGGAAACTCGCCGTCATGGAAATGTACGCCCGTGGCGTGCACCCGTGCGCTACTCATTAATTTTCGATACAAAACAGTGCGTGAACGCCCACGCTTGTTTTAGTAGAAGCCCTAGCACGAGTACATTCCACTAATCCATACCGCATTGTAAGCAGAAAAACCATAGAGATATAGAGAGATGTCAACTAATGCGCTGAGTTCGAAACTCAGTGTCACATTGGAAATTCACACACACAAATAAATCAATATACATATATGCTCATTATCCACTGGGGTATCGCAGTACTCAACATTCGAATATCTTAGTACTAAGCAAGCAATGAAAACTGTTTTCATTATGACGTCGCTGCTGTCATCATTGCTTTCACGAGCAATGAATTTTGTTTTTGGGCATATTGCTGCGACACCGGCCACGCCCCCTTGTCACATCTCCCTTCAGTTTCTGTGATCTGTGAGAAAAACTGTTATGCAACAATATCTATGACCCGCGACCATGACTCGTGCAACCGAGCCGAAACGTCGGGAGGGTAAATATTTTATTTACCGTTAAAATAGATATTGTTGCAATAAATCCCGTAAAGTGATAATTTTATAGTAAAAATGCAATATAATCGTTTAAAATATTATAAAACTGTTTTGTCGTCAGACATCAACGAGTGCGAGCAAGAAGTGTCGGGCTGCGAGTACGCGTGCGTGAACGTTGCAGGCGGCTACGCGTGCGCCTGCCCGCGTCACTTGCGCCTGCACCTCGACCGCCACCACTGCGTGCCGCGTGAGTCCACAGCTTTGTTAGCAGTGGCGTAACTACATGGCGGCAAAATCCTATAGGCCCCAACCCGAGGGGGCCAAGTGGCCAAGAGGCCAAGCTCATTATAATTTTTAGGGTTCCGTAGCCAAATGGCAAAAACGGAACCGTATGTCTGTCCGTCCGTATGCCACAGCCATTTTTTCCCGAAACTATAAGAGCTATACTGTTGAAACTTGGTAAGTAGATGTATTCTGTGAACCGCATTAAGATTTTGATGCAAAAATAAAAAATAATAATAAATATTGGGGGCTCCCCATACTTAGAACTGAAACTCAAAAATTTTTTTTTCGTCAATCACATACGTGTGGGGGTATCTATGGATAGGTCTTCAAAAATGATATCGAGGTTTCTAAAATACTTTTTTTCTAAACCGAATAGTTTGCGTTGGCATACATTTAGTATGGAAGCTGGAAACATTGAATTTTCAGATAGTTCCAGTTTATTCTGTAACCTATTATTGATACCGTTTGAAAGAGCTCATGACGCACTTTCAGGATCAGTAACCAATTTTTCGATATCTTGTATAGTTTAGAAATAATCGAGTGAGATCACTTATCGTTTCCACCCTGTAGTCAGTCATACTACAGAGAATTCATACCAGAGGCCGAAGTATTTTGTATTCAGTTATCATTATTATCTTTTTTTTTCTAGCATCGGCATATCGGCAGCCTTTCGCTTTCGAGAACCTCGAACTGGGGGACTATCTCAGCGCATCTTTCGGCCGGCCCCCCAGCCGGACGAGAACACTGGAATTTGAACCTTAAAATGCTTAGACGGTAAATACAAAATATATTTGTAATTATTTATTTTGCCGATTTTATTCTTGCCACGCCCCTTTTTTCGATAAGTTAATCATGAAGAAGTAGGTAATGTGAAAATGTGTTGGTTGGGTTTATAATAAAACATGATATATTTATATTAAACATCTAATATATTAACAATTTAAATTACAATTCTGTTTGTATTTTCTATAACAACACTATTAAGCCTATAGCACACAGCCGACATGATTCGTAGGGCAATATAAAGGACGCGATAAATGCGCAGCGCCTTATGCCAGCTGTATGTTAGTAGCTTTAGGGGGATTCAAAGTTACTTCTCGATATAACCGCCACAAAATTCAGGTGATATAGCATATAATCTGGTGTAAACATCTTGTCTAATCTACAGGAAGGATTAAATGTTACTATAATATTATTCTAATTCATTTTACTAAGAAGTGATGTTACTTCATTTTATTAAAACATCAAAACATGTTAACCTTAGTACTAGTGGGATATTTGTTTACATACCTCAGTACCCTTCTATTGGTCCTTCGAACCAGATACAAATTGATTCAACTATTTTAAGATTTTTTACTGTTTGTTCGTTAATTAATGTATGTTCTAGGGTGCTTGATGGTGATAGAGAAGAATAATAAATGTATTCCTTATCACAAGAGGGAGAAATAATATAATATCCTTTATTATTCACATTGATGGACACAGAAATGTCCACGCTCCTTGACCATGTATTATGAATATTCTAACTTACGTTGGCTGATAAAGTGTCTTTCCAAATTACGATGGGATATAATAAGTTGAACACAGACCGATCGGCTACAACCAACACTACCGCCTACGCCTAATATAAATCAAAGTGAACTAAACGTCGATGTTACGGCAGACGACGTCATTGCGTGGGAATGGGCGGGAGACGCTCAGAAAACATCTTCTTTATAGGTCCTCGCTTTGGGTCCAGCACTCGCTCGTCGTTCTTTCGCGGAACGTTCCTGGAATGAAGTATCTAGTAAAGGCTAGTGAGCTTATAAATCTCTGCTCTGAGGTGAATGAATCGGATTATTACATAAAACAACGGATGAAATTCTTGCAGGAGTTTTAGATGATAAATTCTGGTTAAAATATGGACTTATGAATACACAATTTGATTTATGCGATTTGTCTCAATTTCTCCATGTTATACTTCAGAGCCCCGACTGCGCTAAATATTTTCAACTACAACGAGACTAAGTAGATGACGAACGAAATTCACAAATTCGTATCGCGGTGTCGCTTTGACAGCTAGTTCAAACGAAAACAAAACGCAACTGCTTCTTTGTGTAAAAGCTGAAAGAAAGCAACTTTTTCTCAAACGTCTTTACGAACATTTGCTGCGTTTTAGTGAAAAAATAAGGTTTTCGGACTTTTAATTGAAAGTGATTAAATCCGTTGTTTTGTCTTTGTTTGCGGTTTGCGCGTGAACTTTACCGCGATACCGAATTTGCACCTCAGCTGGAATGAAAAACGGAGCGCAACTGGAGAAGAAGTGCCAATGAATTGGAGACGTTAAAAATTACGGGTTATGGTACTCTACTCACTGCCAATAAGGTCCGTTCTTCTGCAAACGCAAGATGTTGTTCTGGCATATCAGCAGCTCATTCTGGAGGTACGTGCGTTGGTCGTTCACCCTCACAAACAACTGCAAACACCAAAGTTAATTCAATGAACTACACTCGACGTCAAATAAATCGCACCTCCCGCGACAAGCATTTTCAAACGTATGCATCCTCACTTCCCACCAATATTGGCACCATTTGAAAGCCTAGTTCTAAACTTCATTTCATTATAGGAAAGGGGTTTACCCCAAAAATGTGTCTTTAGAAGGATCCAGAGTCACTTCTTCAAAAAATAGGTAGTTACGCTTGAGCCAACTTTTATGGCTATAAAACTGTTAAGTTGGGATTAATCGCTACCCATCTGTTAAAAAGGACACGTGTGATCATTATTTGGTTTTATAACCATACAATTTGGTCTAGTTGATCCCAGAGGTGAGCCCAAAGTGAGGTCTTTTTTCAAGTCACTTTTATGGTACATGTTAATCATTTATTAAGAAATTAAATGTGTTTTTCTTTAAGGATATTTATTGGGCTTTCAAATAACACCAATATTGTTGGGGCACCATGATTGTGTCGGAAGAAAATCTTTAAAGTTCGCGTCGCGGAAGGTGCGGTTTATTTGATGTTGAGTATATTATCAAAATACCTCAAACCGCGAATTTCGAAAGAGTAGAGTTTAATAATGCGTGACTGCTTGTTNGATTTATATTAAACATCTAATATATTAACAATTTAAATTACAATTCTGTTTGTATTTTCTATAACAACACTATTAAGCCTATAGCACACAGCCGACATGATTCGTAGGGCAATATAAAGGACGCGATAAATGCGCAGCGCCTTATGCCAGCTGTATGTTAGTAGCTTTAGGGGGATTCAAAGTTACTTCTCGATATAACCGCCACAAAATTCAGGTGATATAGCATATAATCTGGTGTAAACATCTTGTCTAATCTACAGGAAGGATTAAATGTTACTATAATATTATTCTAATTCATTTTACTAAGAAGTGATGTTACTTCATTTTATTAAAACATCAAAACATGTTAACCTTAGTACTAGTGGGATATTTGTTTACATACCTCAGTACCCTTCTATTGGTCCTTCGAACCAGATACAAATTGATTCAACTATTTTAAGATTTTTTACTGTTTGTTCGTTAATTAATGTATGTTCTAGGGTGCTTGATGGTGATAGAGAAGAATAATAAATGTATTCCTTATCACAAGAGGGAGAAATAATATAATATCCTTTATTATTCACATTGATGGACACAGAAATGTCCACGCTCCTTGACCATGTATTATGAATATTCTAACTTACGTTGGCTGATAAAGTGTCTTTCCAAATTACGATGGGATATAATAAGTTGAACACAGACCGATCGGCTACAACCAACACTACCGCCTACGCCTAATATAAATCAAAGTGAACTAAACGTCGATGTTACGGCAGACGACGTCATTGCGTGGGAATGGGCGGGAGACGCTCAGAAAACATCTTCTTTATAGGTCCTCGCTTTGGGTCCAGCACTCGCTCGTCGTTCTTTCGCGGAACGTTCCTGGAATGAAGTATCTAGTAAAGGCTAGTGAGCTTATAAATCTCTGCTCTGAGGTGAATGAATCGGATTATTACATAAAACAACGGATGAAATTCTTGCAGGAGTTTTAGATGATAAATTCTGGTTAAAATATGGACTTATGAATACACAATTTGATTTATGCGATTTGTCTCAATTTCTCCATGTTATACTTCAGAGCCCCGACTGCGCTAAATATTTTCAACTACAACGAGACTAAGTAGATGACGAACGAAATTCACAAATTCGTATCGCGGTGTCGCTTTGACAGCTAGTTCAAACGAAAACAAAACGCAACTGCTTCTTTGTGTAAAAGCTGAAAGAAAGCAACTTTTTCTCAAACGTCTTTACGAACATTTGCTGCGTTTTAGTGAAAAAATAAGGTTTTCGGACTTTTAATTGAAAGTGATTAAATCCGTTGTTTTGTCTTTGTTTGCGGTTTGCGCGTGAACTTTACCGCGATACCGAATTTGCACCTCAGCTGGAATGAAAAACGGAGCGCAACTGGAGAAGAAGTGCCAATGAATTGGAGACGTTAAAAATTACGGGTTATGGTACTCTACTCACTGCCAATAAGGTCCGTTCTTCTGCAAACGCAAGATGTTGTTCTGGCATATCAGCAGCTCATTCTGGAGGTACGTGCGTTGGTCGTTCACCCTCACAAACAACTGCAAACACCAAAGTTAATTCAATGAACTACACTCGACGTCAAATAAATCGCACCTCCCGCGACAAGCATTTTCAAACGTATGCATCCTCACTTCCCACCAATATTGGCACCATTTGAAAGCCTAGTTCTAAACTTCATTTCATTATAGGAAAGGGGTTTACCCCAAAAATGTGTCTTTAGAAGGATCCAGAGTCACTTCTTCAAAAAATAGGTAGTTACGCTTGAGCCAACTTTTATGGCTATAAAACTGTTAAGTTGGGATTAATCGCTACCCATCTGTTAAAAAGGACACGTGTGATCATTATTTGGTTTTATAACCATACAATTTGGTCTAGTTGATCCCAGAGGTGAGCCCAAAGTGAGGTCTTTTTTCAAGTCACTTTTATGGTACATGTTAATCATTTATTAAGAAATTAAATGTGTTTTTCTTTAAGGATATTTATTGGGCTTTCAAATAACACCAATATTGTTGGGGCACCATGATTGTGTCGGAAGAAAATCTTTAAAGTTCGCGTCGCGGAAGGTGCGGTTTATTTGATGTTGAGTATATTATCAAAATACCTCAAACCGCGAATTTCGAAAGAGTAGAGTTTAATAATGCGTGACTGCTTGTTTATCAACTACAGTAGGTACACAAAATTGTTGTTTCAGCCAAATGACGTCCACTGCTGGACAAAGGCCTNTATTTATATTAAACATCTAATATTATTAACAATTTAAATTACAATTCTGTTTGTATTTTCTATAACAACACTATTAAGCCTATAGCACACAGCCGACATGATTCGCAGGGCAATATAAAGGACGCGATAAATGCGCAGCGCCTTATGCCGGCTGTATGTTAGTAGTTTTAGGGGGATCCAAAGTTACTTCTCGATATAACCGCCACAAAATTCAAGTGATATAGCAAATAATCTGGTGTAAACATCTTGTCTAATCTACAGGAAGGATTAAATGTTACTATAATATTATTCTAATTCATTTTACTAACAGTGATGTTACTTTATTTAATTAAAACATTAAAACATGTTAACCTTAGTACTAGTGGGATAATTGTTTACATACCTCAGTACCCTTCTGTTGGTCCTTCGAACCAGATACAAATTGATTCAACTATTTTAAGATTTTTTACTGTTTGTTCGTTAATTAATGTATGTTCTAGGGTGCTAGACGGTGATAGAGAAGAATAATAAATGTATTCCTTATCACAGAGGAAGAAATAATGTAATAACCTTTATGACGCACATTGATGGACACAGAAATGTCTCACGCTCCTTGACTATGTATATGAATATTCTAACTTACGTTGGCTGATAAAGTGTCTTTCCAAATTACTTTAGGTTGGGATATAATAAGTTGAACACAGACCTGACGGCTAGTACCATCATTACAACCACTACCGCCTACGCCTAATATCAAGTGAACTAAACATCGGTGTTACAGCGGACGACGTCATTGCGTGGGAATGGGCGGGAGACGCTCAGAAAACATCTTCTTTATAGGTCCTCGCTTTGGGTCCAGCACTCGCTCGTCGCTCTTTCGCGGAACGTTCCTGGAATGAAGTATCTAGTAAAGGCTAGTGAGCTTATAAATTTCTGCTCCGAGGTGAATGAATCGGATTATTACATAAAAACAAACGAATAAAATTTTGCAGAAGTTTTAGATGATAAATAAGAGCCAGCCAGCCTTCCATCATCGGGAACCAGACGCAGGTTAGTGTACCATCCCTATGTTGACATTCCACCAGCTCGCACTAAGCGTTTCGATGACTCTTTTATAATGCGAACAGCTAGGGACTGGAATTCGTTGCCTGCTTCTGTCTTTTCAAGGCGAGAGTGAATAGGCAATTACAGGGCAGATAATATGTGCCATCCTAGACTGCATCCCACTTAACATCAGGTGCAGATGTGGTCAAATACCTGCCTTGTTATGCATAAAAAAAATCCTGGTTGAAATATGGACTTACGAAATTTGTAATCTAAATTTCTCCATGTAGGTATACTTCAGGGTAAGATAGTCAACGGCTTATGGTACTATACTCACTGCCAATAAGGTCCGTTCTTCTGCAAACGCAAGATGTTGTTCTGGCATATCAGCAGCTCATTCTGGAGATACGTGCGCTGGTCGTTCACCCTCACAAACAACTGCAAACATCAAAAATTCACATTCAGTGAATTGATCGACATGCGCAGTTATATTAACGAGTGACTGCTCGTTGAGAAATCTTTCTATACAGTGCATAACATCATAGCATATACATCAATATCCTAAAATATATTTAGTAACAACAGCATGGTTAAATATAAAAGAGCATGGTTTACAGTTTGGTCCTTCTAACCGGATATGATATATTTTTCTAGGCTAGTCTACGCTGAAACTGACCTTAGACTCTGAATCTAGGCGCCATTCCTTACTGCGGAGTGTACTGATCAGATCAGTCTTCAATCTCTCGAATCTCTTGACTGTGCGAAGTAACTCCGCCTGAAATTAAATTAACCACATTTCAAAGAGGATATCACGAGTCTAAGAATCGATAAACATTTATAAAAGTACGATACTCTTATGGATGTTTATGCAATACTCACAGGAGTTAAAATATCCAAGTTGATATTCAGATCGTCGTGTTTTAATTTGCAATCTGAAACAAAAAATGCCCTTGAATTCCAATTTTAACTCAAAATCAATTCAATGCAACTGTAAACTCGAATAACATTGCATTATTAGGATTCATTGATTCGGACATGGAACGCTCGACCTTCGCTCACGTACCACGGCCCTAAGTGGCACTGTTGAATTTGGTGGTTGATAAATTATGGCGATGATTTCAGGGACGACAGGGGAATAAATTTTCATGTCATTTTCATTCATGCCACGCTCTGAAAGCTCAAAATTCGGGGGTTCGATTCCCACGAAGTTTGTAACATTCTGTTAGTTAAGCACAGATATCAAAGTAAAATGGTTGTGATTTATGAATTGGGTGGTGTTCTTGCTTGCAGATCCAGTAAGTAACCAGTTCAATACATTTCGGGGCATAAAAATTACCCAGAATTTATTATTTATTAAAACCGTTTCAGATATCAATTTATGCGCCGCCTTAGCTTCTCTGCTTGACCCGTGATTGACTGGTAGGGAATAACGATAATCATGCTAGACCCAAGTAAAAAAAATGCGGGTTACGGAATGAGGGCTATCGTTTTTATACTTAACAGTTGGCACCCCTGGCGATTGACAGGACCTTACTCTACAGTGGCGCCATCTTGATGAGTGCAAATACGATAGTCCTCCTACCACTTTCGCGCTCACCGTTGGTGCCACTGTCTTCGCTACTAGCCAGAGCCAGTGACAGGACCTTACTCTACAGTGGCGCTAACTGGTGAGCGCTAAAACGATAGCCCTCATTGGGGTATTTTACCTATCCCGCAGACTTTGGCGTTCTTGATCTTCTCGCGCAGTATGGGCAGCTGGTCCCTCAAAGACTCGATGCACTCCATCACCTGCTTGTGCTTGTTGTTCTCTCTAACCAGGTCGTCGTCGCCGTCCCATGGGTAGTCGCTCTTGCGCAACTCCTCTTGAATCGACATGATCTGTTTCTCCAGCTCACCATTCTGCCATGCGGCGGAGTCTCTGTTATGAAGGAAAAATCATTTTTTTTGAACGGATATTCTGATGAATTTCCGTTAAAATAATAATCTGACGTAGGTAAGTACTTACTATAAGGTCAGTAAAAAATAAACTAGATAACATAAATAAACCTGCACTTGAAGTTATTGAACTTCAAAGGCTAAAACAAATGGGGACGATTAAACAGCGGCTATTTAATCCCTACTAATATTATAAATGCGAAAGTAACTATGTCTGTCTGTGTCGCTTTCACGCCTAAACCACTGAACCGATTTTGATGAAATTTTACATAACGTTAGTTTGAGTCCCGGGAATGGACATAGGACAGTTTTTACCCCAATTATTAACAGAAAAAAATTCACGCGTGCGGAGCCGCTGGCGGAAAGCTAGGTTATAAGTACAAAATTCAACCCCGAGAAAATAGTTACTTTCTGGCTGAAGCACTTTCCCGCGACTACAAATATTGCCTAAATAATTTAGTAGGCGTTTGCAATTGATGGATTAATTTAAATAAAATCTATTGGGTAGATCATATTAATGAAATAGAAGAAAGGTTCGATGTTTTTTATTTTTTTAACAGAAATTGGAGACCAAAGAAATTATTTTGAATTGATATTTACAAAATGAGGATACTTTTGCACTACCACTCACCTGCATGTTTTTTCGTGTTCCAATTCATTTTTTAAAATATCTATTTCGTTGTCGGTCATGTTAACAACACAATCACTTCAGCTCAGGAGGGGTGAAATAAAATTAAACTGAAACAAATGACCTTGGTTGGGGCAGTAGGTACCAGATTGATTCAACAAACCATGACAACAGTTTTTACGGCTAACCTTGAATTATACTCAAACCAGAAAAGAAAACAATAATTTATAGCTAGAAACCTGAAAGAAATAACCATCAACCAGTATACAATAGAAAAGGCAAGATAAGCTGAGGAAGAAATTAAAATTTCCGAGTGCATAAAAGTGCAAAATAGTTTGTGAATGAATCGGAATGTAATTTATAGACATAAAAATACAGTGAGGGCGCCACCTCCACGCAAATCTGTCAAATTACTATGAATTTTCGTTATAGTTCCAAAATACTGGACTGTCCTGTCGATGACATTGACAGTGGGGCGCCACCGTCAATACCGGATCGCTGGTTCAGATTTTTGCCATGTTGGAAACCATATAGTTGAACGATGGTAGCGCCCCCCTGTCATTGAGTTTGGCGGGACAGTTCAGCGTGGGTCATCTATAGTTCGTAATTTTGCCACTGATTTTATGTCATGTTTGTGAATGTCAAACTTGTCAAATTCAAATTTGAACTTGATCGTCGGTGTTGTGGATCATAGAGAAAAGTAATACATTGTTGTGGATTTTCTGTAACCGAAACAAAAGAATTAAATTAATTTAAAATCACTAAAAATGAGTTTATTAAGTGCTGTGTTACAAGAAGCTGACAATGCTACAAGTGAGGAGTTGAAAAAGCATTGTGATGCGCTTGTCCCTGTAGTAAAAGAACTGACGGAAAGGATCCAACTGTTATCGTTCGCTTTACAACAATATTTTACTGATACCTACATCACTTTTACTCTAACCAAGAGCTTAGAGCAGTTAAACTATAAAAACAGAAGAGCTAATATTATAAAGGATTACACTACCATAATCCACGATGTTGAAAATATGCGCACTAACTACGGTATGAAAGGTGAGGAGTTCATCAAAAGTTGTGATAAACTGAACAAGGATTTTAAACTTCTTAAAGATTTGTGCATCGTTGCTGAAAGCAAGAAGATTCTAGAAAAGGCAAACCATGATTTTGGTAGGTACAACTATAGCGATGCCATGTTAAGCATTAGAGAGCTACAGAACCAACTGAAAAACTTAAAATTTGGAGATAAACTACAAGAAGGACTCAAGAACTTGAAAGCCCAAGCTGAAAACCAATTAGCCTTATATGCAGCGCAATTGAGCACAGAATGGGAAGAAATCTTCCAGTGGACAGAGAAAAAGAATGTATACTACCTTACTTACTCTCTGTCTGTCCAACAAAGTGACCCAACTTTAATTCAAAAAATACTGAAAACCCTGTATTCTATTGAAAGGTTGAATGCAGAACTGGGTTTATTTTCTCACTTTTTTATAGATCAACTTTTACATAATGTTATCAGATATAACTGTGAAATATTTACCGAAGATGACATTGGTGCTATAGTGTTCAACATTAAAATAGATTTAAATGATCCCAAGAAGCCAAATTACCAGTCAATTTTCAATAATTTAACTGCAATCTTTGAATTCCTTGAATCGACACTCGGATCACAATTTGAGGGTGACCGTAAATTCATTGAAGTGTTTGCTGATTCCATCCGTGGGAAGTTCTTTGATAAGATTATAAAAGACTGTATTCAAAAGAAGCTGCCTTCGTGTAGCACTAGTTATAAGGCTTACACAGAAATTGTAGAGGAGCTAGATGTTTTCAACAAGTTCTTGATTGACCTCAAATTCGTGGACGCTGAGAAATCGCCACTGAATCAATATGTAAATGATACAGAATGCGTATTCTTTAATAAGAAATGCGATAAGTTATTGTCTGATGTCCGCGACCTTCTAATGGAGAGCATTCTGTGTTCTCCAATTGAGGTAGGCTCTACTACGTCTGCTGAGAACGAGTCTATTTTAGATGTGACAGATAAAGATAGTTTGTGGGACATAAACAAGCCTCTATTTCTGCCAAAATGTGTGATATCACAGAATGTGAGAAAGATAATGGCTCTTATTGTGGACCATTTGGAGGAAAGCGTGAAATTACCTGAGAAATACAGGCAAAAACTTGCAATGTACATAAAAGACGTTGCTGTTATGTACCAATGTATCGTCCCACAGAACTGTGAGACGTATTTAGAAAACAGTCCTTTAGAAATTGGTTAGTAAAAAATATAAAGGATAGTGCCAGGGTCTGGACCAAGTGCTGCCCAGAATCAACCCATAGTGCATTTTGTTCCTCAGGCCAATACTAATGTGTAAACCGAAGCGCACTGCAATCTATCCCTGGAGTTAAGAGAAAAAAAGAGTTTTGTTTTGAAATATTTACATATAAAATATCATCGATGTATACGTATTACGCATAAGATTTCGCGATTTTGGCATTAAATAACACTCGTTATGTTGAACTTAACCATACTGCATCCGTACACCTTACTTTAGTACGATTTCGACATTATTTATAAGCGATCTAGCGCTGTTGCAATAGTTTGGTTAGTTGACAGAAATCATTATTTTCAAAATGAAGCAAGAAGTTTTAGTTCTCTATCCTTGCGAAAAATCAATTTATTGGTGTATTAAAATCGATTATTAAAGTTACTGTAAGCTGAAACTTCTTGCTCCATTTTGGAAATAATTAATTTCGGTCAACTAACCAAACTACTGCAACAGCGCTTGATCGCTTATAAATAATGTCGAAGTCGTACTAAAGTAAGGTGTACGGATGCAGTATGGTTAAGTTCAACATAGCGAGTGTTATTTAATGCCAAAATTGCGCAATCTTATGCGTAGTTGGTATACATCGATGATATTTTGTATGTAAATAAATCCAAACAAAACTCTTTTTTTCTCTTAACTCCAGGGATAGATTTCAGTGCGCTCCGGTTTACAAATTAGTATTGGCCTGAGGAACAAAATGCACTATAGTTTCATTCTGGGCAGCACTTGGTCCAACTTCCATACATGGATTGGCACTGTCCTTTACTACTAAAGCTATGACTTGATAATGATTATTTAATCTATGTTTCTTTGAATTTGTTTCACATTGCTCAACTTGCACAGCTGACTGTAACTTGATTTTTTAATGTGACTTCAACTTAAGGCCTAGTTCACCAGATATCTGGCAGATAAAGGATCTTTATTGTTGTCTCTGCCTTTCTGAATCTTTACCAGGCTCCATTGAAACTGATCTCCATTCAACACAACATTCCTGCTTCCACAGCGCTATTTTTCAACAACTGCTTCTACCTTGCGCACGGTCTACTCGGGCCGCCATGGAAGGCCTCGCTTCCGGAACCGCTGGCTGACCTACTGGCTACTCTGCTGCTGGACAGCATCCAGGACTTGAGGGTGTTAGCGCTGGAGAAAATGTCCTTGTACCTCCAGAAACAGAAGAATAAGATTGTGGAAACTGTGGAGTGTAGGGGTAAGTTGCATACCTATTTATTATTAGAGTTTATCTACATGTGAATGAGGAGTAGTGACCACGGACTATGGGCAGGCCCTCCACTAGGTGAACCGACGATCTGGTGAAGGGGAAGTACCAGCGCAGGACCGGTCGTTGAGGAAATCCTTGGGGGAGGCATGTGTCCAGCTGTGAACGTCATTTGGCTGAAACATATAAAACGAACTACATGTGAATATGAACAACTTTTTAAGGATCTAATAGTAAAACTACCAACAAGTAAGGTTTTTTCCTTGATTTTAGAACCTATAGTACTTATTATTATTCTGTGCTATAACTCTGTAAAATTTTTGTAGCTTTTTAGCACCACCTACTCAAATTCTCTGTTTTGCTCAAGGTCAGCTGGTAGAGAATGCCTTATGGCATTAAGCTCGCCTTTTTGTACGGAACATTCTTATGAGTGTGCAATAAAGTCTTTAAATAAATAAAATAAACTGAAACTTTCTTAGGACCCCCAGACGCGCAACCCTGGAGCCAAGACCGCTACGAACAGTTCGACACAGCAGTCAACGATGCCGTGCTCCTACTAAAAACCTTGAGGAACGCCTGGCAACATATCCTGCCTCCTCGCATGTATGAGAAGTCTCTCTGCGCGTTGATCCAGACCCTGTGCCAATCAGTGTTGATAAGAGTTTTTGCTGATACTAAACCTATTTCGGAAGAGTTGGTTTACATGATGGCAGTTCGGCTTGAAGAAACTATTAAGGATATTGCGGGACTGTTTGAGGTAAGATTATTATTTATTGGCAAGTAATCCACATTCCTTGTTTATTTAATGTACTTTGTGTATTAAAAGTTAGTTCATAACCAGATAAACAGATAATGTCTTGCAATAATCTCCAAACTTAAATTGTTTGGGACATTCCATGTTGTACGCAAAGTAATGTGTCGGAATTTTACAGGAATAACACTGTATTTCTTTTATCTACCTACCGCCTACCTTACTAAACCACCGAAATTGTATCGTGTCTTTTGTTTATTTCCTTTTGTGTGGTGTGCAATAAAGTATTTATCTATCTATGTAATACTCTCCCATACTTCCAGGAGCCAATCCCCTTCGAGAGCAAGATAGACGTCTGGAGTAAGTTCACCAAGCTGCCACAACTCCTCAAAGCCCAACTGCTAGAGTTATCATCTCTATGGTCACGGGACGTGGAGCTTCCTCTACGCTACTCCTGCGAGGAGATACGCCAGCTCGTCAAGATGAGGTTCCCTGATGACAAGTACCGGCTGAAGATCTTAAAGGAGATCCAGTGATGATACAAACCTCTTTTACAGTATGTATTGTAAATATTATTTTGAAGACTTTATATTAAACCTTTTTGTTACATGTGAAATTATTTTTTTATTAGTAGTCTAGAATCTAGATAGTGCTTAATCTCGTACGGAAAAGTCGTAACTCCAAAGTAAGGTAACAGTCATGTACAGGGTGTTCCAAAATAAACACGCATAATTCACACTGCCACTGAGGCAGCAGGGCCTAAGACGCATTGAACAACCCTCCTAATGTCTTTTTTTTTCTCTTTATTTGGGACAACAAACAGTTACATTGAGGGCTTATGTACTAAATCTTAATAATTTGAAAATTTTGTAACAATGCAACCAGCACCATTGTCCACAGATAGGATCTAAAGTAGTAAATTGCAGAGCTTAAACAAAATTAAACTATTACTTCCTTAATGTGTAAATGTCCATTAAAAAAATAACTAAAAGTGGTTAAATTAGGCATGCTATTTACAATACACTAAAAACATAGCGAATAACTGAGTAGGTTCCTAAAGTAATGGATTGGATGAATGATAAAGAATATTTTTCAGTTCTATGATTAAATTACGTATGAAAATCCACCCAAAGTGGTTTTAAAACGAATAGGTACATACCTATTCGTTTTAAAACCACTTTGGGTGGATTGTTTTAATAGTCTTTTAATCAACTAAAAACGTCGTCGTTAATAAAAAAAAATACAATAATAAATAAAACGAAAATTACCCAATCTGACTGATTGTCATTGCAATAAAGGCGGCTGAGGAGTTGTTTGGTGCAAATTAATATTTTCTATTCACGTTGCGTGAACAAATAACCATTAAAATTTAATACCTTATATGAATCACAGGTAACTTATACGCGCCACCATATTTAGTCAATTATCTAATAAGGTGCTATAAACGAATAATTAAAGTTAATATTTCTGTATCAACGTAATATGGCGTGCAGTAATAATTTACGCGATAATGTAAAAATGTTCGCAAAAACACTCCGTCCGCCGCCGGCGATCGCTTTCTTAGCTAATATGCTTGATTTTAAATTATGATGCCGTTCTTGTACGAGCCATAGACTGCTAGTACCGCGTCTTTCATTCGCTCGTTTCAGCCAAATGACGTCTACTGCTAGACGAAGGATTTTCGACCGGTCCTCTGGGTCTAGACAAAGTGCAAATTATAATCGCAAACCAGTCGAAAAGTGGTCGAAAAGCCCCTTTTTTGTATGGAGTTTTGACGGATTCGATTTTCGATTCGATCAAAAAGTGCGTTTTGTCTAGGGGGGCTGAGCTGTCTGCATCCAGTTTGTTCTCTTTACCGAATAGCGAAGTCTTTACTTACCAAATATCTTTAATTATTGACTTTTGTCTGTGCTTGAGATTAATTCGAGTTTTGTGGTTCATTTTGTAACACAGGCTACATAGTTTAGTGGTTCGCTTGAGTAGATACGGTTGCGAGTTCGAATTCCGCCAGCGGGAAAAGTTTTATGTGTGACTTGATGTAGGTCTAGATAGGTTCTCTTCTCTATGTATCTTATTTAAACAGTTTTATTGTTATTTAAACGACTAGATTATGTTATAGGTAGTATAGATACGTGATTTATGTTATAGAGTAGTAACAAATGTATGTGCTTGTTGGTAAATGTAAATGTTTTATAATATTTTAAGGCATTAGAAATATTTTCTAATAAATCAAGTTGTCCTGTAATCCAAGCCTGTATAAATGCAGCTGCATTTACATAATGTACTCAAGTAAATTAATTTAAAGACAGCTCATAAAATAAATGCCAAGACAACACAATTAGTATAATTGATGAAAATAAGTTATTGTTTATTTAATTTCAATAAATTTTACACGGAATCTTGCTTTAAAATGATTGGAATTTACCGTTTAATATGACTTTATTGTTCTAAACGGACAATATTTTTGTAACAATATACTTATAGTAGGTAATTATAAACTGTATATGGACAAAACTACTTAGACACAAATTATACTTATTTACCATTTAAAATGCTATGAAAGACAGTAATACTTGTGTTTACGATAGTTTAGCTTGAAGGCTATTTTTCACCGCCTCGCGTGTTTGTTGTGTTGCGCAAACTCTCACGCATGGCCGTGCGGAAGAACGGAAATAGGGAAATGTGCTCTTACACGGGGTGTTGTTTTTGTATCTTTTATAGGGAAGTTCTAGCTAGGCTATAGTATTTATAACAAGGGCCCATTAAAATATCGGACCATTTAAATTAACCATTCTTGATGATGTTCACTGAAAACCAGTGTCGTGGCTTCCCTCACCGGGGGCCACGGCATATGCTGAGCTGAGTGGGGTCCCATTGCGATGGGCATCGCTGTGCGACAGGGTGGCACTGCTTAGTTTACTTGCTCATTCATTGTATGTTTTATGTCACCTCTATGTCTTATTTGCTTTTTTTTATTTTACCACTTTTGTCTTTTGTGATGTCCATGGCAATAAATGTTTCTTTCTTTCTTTCTGATGTTTTAAATTGTATTTTTGCGTGTTATGTTCTTTACAAAATAGTGCAAACCGAAGTTCAAGTAGTTTTGAACATTCTGTGTCTAAAACATGTTAGGTTTTTGAGCATTGATATGAGTAACTTTTTCCAATTTATTGATTTGATACTGAAACGATTGGTTAGAACAATTTAGCTAAACTGAGTTAGAATCGTCGATTGAGTGTCATGGAATCGTATGTATTTCATAATACCACCCTTTAGAGTTTCTTCACCCAGAATATCTGCTGTTTCAAAAAAGATCAGCCTGTAGTGCATATAGCGTTTATTTATTCAGTTTTTCTAATACACATCGTCTGTTGGATAACGAAGGATTGGGCGATCAGAATCCAGCGTTAGGTAAGGGCGTTGCGTAGTTATTCGTCGAAAAGGAAATGAAATCACCGCAATAGGCCCACATAAAAGTTATTTGGAAAATCTTACCTAAACGTTGGTAATCGATGTTATATCGAATGATATATTATTTATTGTAACCTGTTGAAATTCAGATCAGCTCATTGCAGAATCTATTTACAGTTTCCATAATGTTGTATTTACTTTAGCTGAACTCAAAATTTACTAGAGTTAGTTATCGATATTACATAAGACAATAATAAATATTAGTAAAACAAATAAGTCCTATTTAATAAGACTTATGTAAGTAGGTAATATTAATTTTAACGATAATTGAATCTGATTTAGTGTATCGCATCAAGTTTTGATTAAGTAAATAATTAATCCTGTCAATAAACCTATTTACTCGTCGATTTATTATGAAACATTTACACAAAGTAGAACGCTTATTTATTGAAATTAATACAACGAATTAAAAACGCTGGAATGAAATGAAGTTCTTACAATACATTATGTACCAATTCCAGAAAAATCTATCACAAATGTTTTATTTACCTAGCGATATGGTATGAGTCTGTGTTTAAAATAATTACCAAACCCTATTACTGCTTCAAAATCTACAATCAGTGAAGAAATCAATCATTTAATAATGAGGTCAAACTTTAGGGCCTAAGGTTAATCACAAGTACAACAACAGAAATTACATAATTATCTTTATGTAATTCCTTGACAATATTGGGTTATTTGTCGATTAGCGCTCGTGTGATGATACTCCTTTGAGTAAGGTATCCTTTGGTTTCAGACTCAGTCAATTTAAATATGTTTAAATATGGTAAGGTTAGGGGAAGAATTATTAGAACATTCGGTAAATTGGCCTTGGCAGAGAAAGTGGCGTCCCGAAACCCAGCCACCCATTACGCGAATGCTATATAAGTGAGTGGCGCTTCCTCCGGCCCTCAATACGTACGTTTCATGCCAGTGACCGGCCGCCGATGCCCACTATGCAACACCTTTCGGTAGGTACCTCAGCTGAAAAACGCGGGAAAGCTCGGAAGCGCGGGAATTTTCGCCGCCATTTTTGAACGTCAATTTTTTCGTTTTTTTTCCGGAGTGCTGTGATTGTGGCCAGTGATAAATCAAGTGAAAAGTGATTTGTGATGATAACAGTGATAATACGGATGTGTTTACTGTGAAAATGGACTGTGAGTAGACAGCTAATAGGAACCAAAACTTTGGAGAACTTTCTGCTAATGGTTTCCAAGTGATTTATACAAGTTTTACAGTGACTTCAAATTCAAATTGTTTTTGTAATGGANGTGTTCATTAGTTTTCTAACTTTATAATAATGTAAAGAGACGGCATGCAATTCGATTGTGTCAATTTCATCTTATGTAAGACAAACAAAAATTGGGAATAGCATTTTTCTTCCTTAGTTAATCGCTTCTGAGGATGACCGGAAGACAAATTAATTTTATTAAGACTGCAATGTATTATAAACTAAAATAATAACATTAATAACAAAATAACATAAAAAATATGATAAACCTTTCGTTTGTAATTTTTTTTTGCGGATTATGCGTTCATAAATAGATCACCTAAATGAATATGGCGAGGATTGAAATCAACACCCTGTATGTATACGCAATTGGCGCGTAATAGTTTGATTATTATTTATGTTAAATTACGTCTACCAAATGTTATGTTATTGATAAGTAACCGACCGGTTATTGAGGGGCGATTCTCTAATGACGGCACAAGGAAGCGCGCTTGAAATCGTTACAGACCACTTGGCGCGGCGGTAAGTATACGCACATTTCTTTCAATTAAAACGATTGACGTTTCTCTTTGGCTAAGGATTATTCCAGAAAGAATTTATGGGGTGGTGACGAAAGTCGGTATTCGCGTTACTTTATCCCGTAATCCTACTAATATTATAAATGCAAAAGTTTGGATGTCTGGATGATTATTACTCTTTCATGCAAAAACTACTTAACGGATTTTGATGAAACTTTACAGTATTATTGTTTATAACCGTTCCAAGGATATTTATTATAGTAATATTGTAATTAATCAAGTGTTAGGTAATCTATATTTGACAGGACCAGACAAATAAAAAGTTCTAAACTATAAGCTAATTAACATGTAACAGTATCTAGACAGATATAATTTTATAATAGATATAACGTATTTAATAATTATGTTTAAATAAAGTTTATAATTGCATATAACAGTCAGTCAGTCAAATGATTGATTGTGTGAATTTATAAAAATACAAAGCAAATAGATACTTAACATAATTTATTATTAAATATTTCAATAAATGTATTTCACAAATGCAATAATAAAAATAAACTTAATATTACTTGACTTTGATGAATTGCCACTCAAGTTCATACACACCAACTGAGGTTTGGTTCTTTTCATCATAATCAGCCCATTCTTTTTCACTCAAATCCACATCTTCAAACTTTTTGCCTGGAAAAAAAACATTAATTTCTATAAATGCAAAGAAACATCCACATAAATAAGTAATTTAATGAAATATTATTTTACAAAAAATTATAGAAAAGTAGTATAGAAAAAGCAATTAGCAAAACTATACAATGTATTTTCTTTCTGGGTGTAATTTCATCTGTTTTTCAAAACATTGTATCATAAATTATTGTAAGAGGGTGGAATTAGTAAAGTAAGTAAACATTTATTTGCCACACACAAAGTCACATATATTGTTCAACAAAATTACATAATGAAATATTTAACATGCACATACAAAATAAAATATTGAAGGTGAATTAATGCTAAAAGCATTCACTGCCAGTCAACTTTTAGGTCATGCAGAGATATTAAGTATATGAGTAGTTATTGAAAGAAACATTAAGCAGTTACCATCATTCTCAGCCTCGGCAATCCATCCTGACTTGGGTTCAAAGTCGATAGGTTCTACTCCTCTGCAGTCAAACATCACAATGGTTTTGAACTTGTTTGCATCGTCACTTGTGAATACACCTGAAAAATTGCACAGTGCCTTTTTGAAATACTACTTTTACTAGGTTTGGCTTAATAAATAAGGAGTTAGGTAACAAGTAATAAGAGGTAGGAAGAGGTTCAAAAAAAGATAGGTACATCAAAATATCCTTGTTTTTAATTTTTACCCAGATGTCTTCCAACATTTTATTCTTTAATTACTTATCATTAACATATATGTTAGGTTTTGAGGATCTCCTTCTAATTAACTGACTGCGGGTCTCTTTATCACATACATAATTTATTTACGAAAACATAACCTCTAATTCCTTACCGTTGGTTCCCTCAATAATATCCATGCTATTTTCCCTCGAGCACAGTTTACATTTTATCAGCAGATGGGTCTCGGACCTATTATGCTTTAGCGGCACCTTGTCTGCTTCTGTGAGGTCGTGGAACTTGCCAGATGTCTCCCCACAGTAGCTACACCGCAGTTTCAGAAACCATTGGTAGTGAGGATGGTTGGTGTACAGCTTATCTATACATTCGAGTGTCGCCTTGATCTGCAGAGCTATTTTGACCATTTTGAAGCCGTATTTTCACAGGATTTGGGGAAATAAACACGCAGAAATTCAGCACAACAAACGAAATGTCAGACTTTGACAACGTCAAAAGGTCATCACCCCCTCCGTTCAGAAATTCTACTTCCGAAATAATAACGGTTACCGTTACTCAATACCGTTAATCGTGACTGAAGTGCACTTTTAGAAGAATACTGAGACAAATCAAAAATTAAAAAAACTAGCACGACTTGAGGATTTTAGAATAATAATTACGCCTTATGTAATTTATGAATATTTGTGTATTGGCATTTCTAATAATAAATTACATGATTTCCTGGTATAAGCAGATATGTATAATATTAACAACGTAGGCATATACATATTTATGACTGACTTAGCTCCTTGGCAGCGGGACGACCTTTATCGAATTGCCCTGGGAATCGGTGTGGAGGGTGAGACCCATCTCTTGCAGCACTTCGTTGTCCACTGGACCTTGCAACGTCATTTTAGAAATGACTTCCTGGAAACCCAGAACAGATACTAAATTATTATAAGTTACACGCTAATCAAACACTGATTATTATGCAATCAATAAGATTAAGATTCTAATATAAAACGTCAGCAATTTACTGGTGTTCATAAGAAAGCAGCAAATCCTAATTTCGATAGGGTAATTTAGCACATTAGGTTATTGTAATAAATTAAGAATTATAGCTTACCTGATTTTCTGGACAGTTTTCGCATAAGTTCCGGACAGCGAATATGACCCATTGCATGATTACTGTTAATATTTAAAATGTAAGGAAACAATTTAGTCATAATAATTTAAGAGTAGCAGTATTTTCGACAATGTGTAGTACATAAATGAGCTTAAAAAGTATAGGTGGCCATGTAAGTGGAAGAGGGTTCTATATTGGCTCACATAAAATTCTAAATCCTATTCTTTGTCTTACTACCGATTTGTGTTCATAATAATCTCTCTTCATAATTTTATTTTTCATACTTTTTTTATTCATACATTTTTATTACTACCATCGGAGCTCATAACAGTTAGTAATCATAATTTTTTTATCAATACTGTTACTACCAAGAACCATTTAAAATACATAATTTTTATTTTCAGATCTTTTTTCTTCATAACATTCATTGATCATATTGTTTTAATTAATAATGTTGTTACTAAGAACATACTTCAACTCATAATGTTGTTGTTCAGAATAATTTACTTTATAACAGACATACTCGTATCTTTAAAAAAATCATATATAATTTAATAGAGTAGATAAGCATGCAGAGCATGCAGCATGAAAGCAAGCATGCAGCATGCATTGGTATCTCCTCGTCTCCGGCGCTGCGGGATGTGCAGCCCTTCCGCCCTTGCGTAACGAGGCTCAGGCACCCACGCTTGCTTCCGCAGCTTCGGCTTTTTGGATCGCCATCGGCGCCTTCGGCGCCTCGGCGACCAGCCTCAGCCGCTCCAGCTCACCCGGGCTCATCATTATCGGAACTCAGTATTTACTAGGAAGCCACCCAAATATGCTCCCACCACACCCCCATACTTATTCATTGACTTCTTTCCATCCAATATGGACGCGGAAGGTCGCGTGTCGACTGCGCGTGCGCACAAAAACGCAAGCGACGTAAATCGCTGGGAACTCCACAACACCTACGTTTGTAAATTAATTTTACACTTTTTCTGACGAGTAAATCACTTTTTCCGCACTCGGACTCGCTGTATTGGAAAACGTAGAACTATGCGCGGTAGCTAACTATACACATCGTTGAAATGCTAGTATAACATAATTACTTGTTGAATATTGCCATATAATATCAAGCGATTTAAACGATTTAATGTTTTATTGCTTTTAACGTTTTCATTTTTTGTTGGTATAATAATACGAAATCGTGTTAAAATAACATTAGTGGCGATTTTACGTTGTAAATAATATTTACCTTTTTATTTCGAAAACTATTTTAAAATTTCCTTTTCCAGACGGCATTCCTGATCATCGCGTTAGTGATCGTCGTCAATGCAGGACCAGGCGTGGCGAATCAGAATGACAGCGAACCCAAGTTTGACCAAATCGCCGAGGAGACGAATAATAAAAACGCTTTAACAATCATAGACGGCCCAAAGTACGTAGCCAAGCCCGAACCGACTCAGCCACCAGTAAGGACCAACGGCCATGATCACAAACCGGAGCAGCGCCCGCCGAGCAAGCCGCCGATTCATCCCGAAAAACCACCGCAGAAATACTATGTCGATATCTCTCGGCCTTACTACGGCCCCGTGCAGAAACATCCCCCATCCAGGCCCCAATACTCACAACCGCTAAAACTATATCCACCACCGAACGCGATTTACAACTACCCGAAAGTTATCCCTCTACCACCACACCACAAGAAAACTTACTACACCAAACAACAGGCCCGACCCATAATCTATAACAAACCACCGCCAATTCCTCCAAACAACAAAACGGTGATCGTAAAAAGTCCGAAATTCAGTTTGCCAGTTCAAACCATCACTGGAGTGCGAACGGACTTCGTTAAGCCGCCGAGACCCAACGTGACGACACCCACCACAGTTGGGACTACGACTACCACAAAGCGACCGCTCAGAACAAAGAGAATCTGGCCGAAAAAAATTCTCGATAAAATGAATGCGACGTTAAATAAAACAAAATCGACTAATGACACGACACCGACTAACAGATCCGACATCACTGAACATGACTCATCTCCTAGCGCGAGCGTGACGAGGATCCGATACGTGTTTAAGAACGACACTTCCCCGACCACTGCTGCCCCGCGCCGCGTGTACCGTCCCGTCACCAGGATTCCCAAAGTAAGGGCCACCACTCCCTTCTACAACTACACCACGTTCGAACCTAACGATTGGATACCCATCGTCCCGCCACACTACTATCGCGGCAGGAAGCCGAAACAGACTCCCATAAGTAGACGATCAGACGTCACCGGCCCCGAGCAATCTCACTTGACTAAACGAATGCTTTACTTACAATCGTTTGGACTGATCCCCGTGCAAAATTTACAACAAAATTTGCAGCAAAATTTACAACAAATTTCCAGCAAAATTCACAATCTCAAGCGCCCGAAATGTCGAGAAAAAAAATGGTATATTTTAAGAAGAAGCGCCAATTGAACCCTTATTATTCTGGTTACAGCGAGAAGCCAGGTGCGCAGCCGCACTTTGTGCATGAGGACCTCCACGGGGAAGCGAGCCGCGTCCACGTGCACCAGCCGCGGGTCGTGACGAAGATCAAGCATCACCACCACCACCATCATCACAGATACATCAAAACGGTTGAAAAACCGGTCAAAGTTCCGTACAAAGTGGAGGTGCCGAAGCCGTACGCGGTCGCTATAGAGAAGAAGGTGCCGGTGCCCGTCGACAAGATAAAGATAGTTGAGAAGCCGGTGCCGTACGCCGTCACGGTGGAGAAGAAGGTGCCGGTCCCGATCGCGATCAAGGTGCCGCACCCGGTGCCGTACAAGGTCGTGGAAAAGGAGTACGTGCCCAAGCCCTACCCGGTGGTGCAGCAGGTGCCGGTGCTGAAGCACGTGGAGGTCAAGGTGCCGCAGCCCGTGCCCGTGCCAGTAGAGAAACGCGTGCCCTACCCGGTGGAGGTCCGCGTGCCCGTCGACCGCCCCGTGCCCGTGCCCGTCCCCGTCGAAAAACAAGTGCCCTACCCCGTGCCCGTCAAAGTCTTCGTGCCCCAACCCTACCCCATCGAAACAAAAGTCCCCTACCCCATCCAAGTCCGGGTCAAGGAACCCTACGAAGTCGTCAAGCACGTGCCCTACCGAGTGCCCTATCCCAAACCCTTCACGATCAAGGTGCCCCAACCTATTCCCTACACGGTCGAAAAGAAAGTTCCGTACCCGATCGAAATCGAGAAGAAGGTGCCGTACCCGGTCGAAGTTTTGGTCCCGCAGAAGGTGGAGGTGGAGAGAAAAGTACCGGTGTACATTCCGAAACCTTATCCGGTAGAGAAGAAAGTGCCTTATCCTGTCAAAGTGCCGTATCCCGTGAAGGTGCCGGTGCGAGTGCCGGTCGAGGTGCCCGTGTACGTCAACCACCCGTCGTACTACCAGGAGCAACACGAACACGACGAATACGACAGGAGCGCGGTGACGCCTCACGGCAACGCCGCCTACGACTTCCACTCCCGATCCGACAAAGATGCAGCAGAATCAGAAAACGTTACAGTCACCGTTACGACCACGCCGACGCCAATTAGCACCACGCCTAGCTCTTGAACAATATTTATTGGATTATTGTTTTTGTAAATACTTATTCAGTAATTTTTAATAAGTGGCAGTTAGGAGTTACAGGACAATATTTAGTACCTTATAGCATAATCTGTAAGTTATTGACGTGTGAATGTGTGGGAGTTGACCACGAATCGAGTAAATGAATGCTACTGTGATAATTTTTGTTTTCATTCATCTTCTATGATAGGTAATGTCAATGTAAATGTAGGTAATTGTAATTTAATTTGCAATAAAAATGTCACAAATTCTACCTGCAGTGTGCGATTTCTCGCGCGTTCTTAGAAGATCACATCAGCAAGATGTGAAGTTTGGAGATTATTAACAGAACTAAGTATTAGGCATTTCTGTGTGCATCTATTGACTTCAAATAAATTGTTACACGGACTTCCTCGAGCTACATCGAAGGTCTTATGATGTCAGACATCGGTGTTTCCTCAGATTGAACTCTAACAAAAAGATCACTTACACGCGTCCAGAAGAAATGAAACGAACCGACTCAACAATTAGTGCAAGTGACTTCTAGCGGCAAATTATACGGCGCCGTGTCACTCACCCCGCGAGACGCGGCGAATGATTAATTGCTTTCGCTAATAAGGTAATGTGTTCATTAGTTTTCTAACTTAATAATAATGTAAAGAGACGGCATGCAATCGATTGTGTCAATTTCATCTTATGTAAGACAAACAAAAATTGGGAATAGCATTTTTCTTCCTTAGTTAATCGCTTCTGAGGATGAGCGGAAGACAAATTAATTTTATTAAGACTGCAATGTATTATAAACTAAAATAATAACATTAATAAGAAAATAACATAAAAAATATGATAAACCTTTCGTTTGTAATTTTTTTTTGTGGATAATGCGTTCATACATATAAGTCATAAATAGATCATCTAAATAAATATGGCGAGGATTGAAATCAACATCCTGTGTGTATGTATACGCAATTGGCGCGTAATAGTTTTATTATTATTTATGTTAAATTACGTCTACCAAATGTTATGTTATTGATAAGTAACCGACCGGTTATTGAGGGGCGATTCTCTAATGACGGCACAAGGAAGCGCGCTTGAAATCGTTACAGACCACTTGGCGCGGTGGTAAGTATACGCACATTTCTTTCAATTAAAACGATTGACGTTTCTCTTTGGCTAAGGATTATTCCAGAAAGAATTTATGGGGTGGTGATAAAGTCGGTATTTGCGTTACTTCATCCCGTAAGGTTACATGTATGTATCTTATAGAAGCACGCGGAAATCGCTTTTCCTAGGGGTAGATGGATAGGCCCAAGGAGCTAGCCTAATAAAAAAAATATCGTATTATTTTCGTATATGTTACAACTTAGTCCCACGACATAAGCTGATGTTGCCTGTGTATAGCGATAGAGAAACAAGATAATTTAATAATAGTGTATTTGAAAGAATATTTAATTTTATGAATCAAATGTTTTAATCCATACTTGACAGGACCACATGAATAAAAAGTTCTAAACTAAGTTAACATGTAACAATATCTAGACAGATAATTTCATAATAGAAATTATAATGTATTGTATTTAATAATTATGTTTAAATAAAGTTTATAATTGCATATAACAGTCAGTCAAATGATTGATTGTGTGTATTTATAAAAATACAAAGCAAATAGATACTTAACGTAATTTATTATTAAATATTTCATTAAATGTATTTCACAAATGCAATAATAAAAATGAACTTAATATTACTTGACTTTGATGAATTGCCACTCGAGTTCATACACACCAACTGAGGTTTGGTTCTTTTCATCATAGTCAGCCCATTCTTTTTCACTTAAATCCACATCTTCAAACTTTTTGCCTGGAAAAATAGAATAATTTCTGTAAATACAAAAATTCTTCCATATAACTCTGATAAAAAACTGCTTTTAAGATAGTTAAATAATAAATATTTTAATGAAATAATATTTTATTTTACAAAAATATAAACAAAAGCAGTGTTGAAAAAGTTACTATCACATCTATGCTGTTTGCCATAGTGTACATAATTTGATCTATTTATTTATTTAAAAACTGTTACAAAAAATACTATAAAAATGTGGACTTAATGCTAAAAGCATTCACTGCCAGTTCACCTTTGTATCATGCAAAGATGAATTTATTTATTTGGAAACTGTATTATGTTACAGAGTAGTTTATTACATAACTCTAGCTATTTACAGTCTCACAGCTAATATAAGTCTGTAGAAGTAACAGGATAAAATGTTCTTAGGTTCCATCAATTATCAAAAATCAAAATCAAAAATATTTATTCAGTTTAGACCACAAGTGGCACTTATGATTATCATGTAAAAATGAGCAGGTACCATCATTTTCTGCCTCAGCAATCCATCCGGACTTAGGTTCAAAGTCGATGGGCTCCACTCCTCTGCAGTCAAATATCACAATTGTTTTGAACTTGTTTGCATCGTCACTTGTGAATACACCTGAAAAATTACAGACAGTGCTTATTTATAAGACAATTTTACTAGATTTGGCTTAATAAATAAGGAGCATAGGTGAGGTGGCAAGAAATACGATAAAGATTGATTAGTAAGAAGAGGTTCAAAAACAAAGATACATCAAAATATTCTTGTTTTTATTTTTTAACCAGGATGTCTTCCAACATTTTATTATTTAATTACTTATAATTTTTATTGTTATAATACGTACATGACTATTATCTTTAGGTTCTTAGAATCTCCTTCGAATTCACTTAACAATGATTGCCGGTCTCTTTATCACATACATAATTTTATTTACTTATAAAAACAACCTAAAATTCACTTACCGTTGGTTCCTTCAATAATATCCATGCTATTTTCCCTCGAGCATAGTTTACATTTTATCAGCAGATGTGTCTCGGACCTGTTGTGCTTTAGCGGCACCTTGTCTGCTTCTGTGAGGTCGTGGAACTTGCCAGAAGTCTCCCCACAGTAGCTACACCGCAGTTTCAGAAACCACTGGTAGTGAGGATGGTTGGTGTACAGCTTATCTATACATTCGAGTGTCGCCTTGATCTGCAGAGCTATTTTGACCATTTTGAAGGCGTATTTTCACAGGATTTGGGGAAATAAAAAATAAACACGCAGAAATACAGCTGATTAATACAGCACAACAAACGAAATGTCAAACTGACAATGTCAATAGGTCATTCCCCTTTCGTTCAGAAATTTTACTTCCAAATAACGGTTTCTGTTACTCAATACCGTTAATCTAGTAACAGAAAGTGCACTTTTTGGACAATACTGAGACACATCAAAAATTATCAAAATCAATCGCGAACTTAAAAATTTTTGACTAGTCTCTTGAGGATTTTAGAATAATTACGCCTTGTGTAATTTATGGATATTTGTGTATTGGCATTTTCTAATAATAAATTACATGATTTCCTGCTATAAGCAGATTTATATAATATTAACAACGTAGGTATAATATTTATGACTGACTTAGCTCCTTGGCAGCGGGACGACCTTTATTGAATTGCCCTGGGAATCGGTGTGAAGGGTGAGGCCCATCTCTTGCAGAACTTCGTTGTCCACTGGACCTTGCAACGTCATTTTAGAAATGACTTCCTGAAAAACCAGAACATACACTTTTTAATATAAGTTACACGCAAACTGAACACATAAACCGTACGTTAAAGTACTTTATTAGAGATATAAGAAAGCGGCAAATCCTAATTTCGATAGGGTAATTTAGCTCATTAGGTTATTGTATTAAATTAAGAATTATGGCTTACCTGATTTTCTGGACAGTTTTCGCATAAGTTCCGGACAGCGAATATGACCCATTGCATGATTACTGTTAATATTTAAAATGTAAGGAAACAATTTAGTCATAATAATTTAAGAGTAGCAGTATTTTCGACAATGTGTAGTACATAAATGAGCTTAAAAAGTATAGGTGGTCATGTAAGTGAAAGAGAAATCGACAGTGAACTCTTACGAAATGTTAAACATTATCATGCATCACACTATCGTCGAGCAAATTACTTGTAATGTTTATAACTTGATGGCATCAAGTTACGATATGTAAACTTTCACTCCCATTTATTTACTTCAAATTAAAAATTAATTTAAAAGGATACGTGGATTTCGCGCGTCAATGTTGCAGCAGTCCAGCAGAACTGGAATCACTTCTAACTCTCGCATCTGAAAAACACATTACATACATCATTATTAGCCGAAAATAAAAATAATTAAATATTGCGCAGAAAAGTATAATGGATTCATAGTCTAATGGGCTAATGGGCATATTTATTCATACATATGAAATTATGGTAATAAGTCATTAGATTGTTCATGAAAAGTGTCTCAAAGAACGGAACCAATCCATGAAAATTAAGGCACAACAAAATTTTCATACGTTTTCGGCTTTATTCATGATGCGATTAATGAATGAACTAGAGATGAGACGTATTTACTAGAACAGATCCACACACTAGGTATTTTACAGTACTAGGCGGCACCTATTCCAATTTTTTAAATACTTGATCCACCTAGTATTTTATAAATTACACGATTTCCGACCCTACCGTCAAAGTAATAGAGGTTATTATTGCGTAATCCGTAGTCGTGTATTACGCGCACCTAGTATTTCTCGCTAAGCTTATGTGCGAACGTAGAGATTCACTCCGTCTCTGTCTGACCAAACAAATTTGAGCGCGACGAAGCAAACGCACACAAACGTATTCATGTAAATAAGAAAAAATATGTAAATATTTNTATCAATGATTATGTTTTTAAATATGTAGGTTTTAAATTTTTTATGAAGAATGATCATTATGATATCAAATTGTATGATAAATATTTTCGGACCTCCAATGATAGGAATTGAAAAGTTATGTAAGAAAATGCGCTACCGTGAAAGAGAAATCGACAAATGAACTCTTACGAAATGTTAAACATTATCATGCATCACACATATCGTCGAGCAAATTACTTGTAATGTTTATAACTTGATGGCATCAAGTTACGATAATGTAAACTTTCACTCCCATTTATTTACTTCAAATTAAAAATTAATTTAAAAGGATACGTGGATTTCGCGCGTCAATGTTGCAGCAGTCCAGCAGAACTGGAATCACTTCTAACTCTCGCATCTGAAAAACACATTACATACATCATTATTAGCCGAAAATAAAAATAATTCAATATTGCGCAGAAAAGTATAATGGATTCATAGTCTAATGGGCATATTTATTCATACATATGAAATTATGGTAATAAGTCATTAGATTGTTCATGAAAAGTGTCTCAAAGAACGGAACCAATCCATGAAAATTAAGGCACAACAAAATTTTCATACGTTTTCGGCTTTATTCATGATGCGATTAATGAATGAATGAACATATGAATAAGGTTGAAATTATAGTGGCAATGTATTATATTGCTGTTGGCTATGTGAAGGGTTTAAAATTCACAGGCATTTAGGCGGTCAGCGTCACGCAATAACTGTGCCCACCTGTTTCTTATTCTCCTGGTTCTTCCAGCAGAGGTTGGCGAGAGTACGCACAAGCGCCGCCTTGAAGCCGAAGGCCACGTGCCGCTCCACCGTCTCCACCTGCGTCACCGTCTTCTTGGGGGAACTCATGTCCACAGCGCCCAGCCTGAGGAAATAGTTATTTATTTTCTATAAATAGTCTATTAAAAAGATCTTTTACATACGACGATAAATTCTGAATGTGTGGGCTTGCGTAATAGCTTACATACATCAATATAGCATATTTATAGTAATGTGGCATCAAAATGCGTTTTACGTGGTCACAAACTCATCCTCATAAACTTGCGTTTTATATCAAAACCAGAATAAGAGAAAATCGTATAGTTCTTTTAAATGGATATAAAATTATGAGAAACACCTACCTAGTCTTAATTCCTTCAGGCGAATCAATTTTGACTGAGGGCACCTTGTTCACGAGATTCTCATCGGAAATCTTCACCTCTTTCGCAGGTTCATTCTTCTTGTCCGCGTCTTTGTCCCCGCGCGTCTTCTCAGAAGATATCCCCAAGATCTTTTGCAGTTGCTCACTCAAGTCAAAGTCTGTAGACAGGTTTTGACTCTTCTTCACTTCTTTTGGCGTATCTGGAGATTGCTTTTGTGACTCTGTCTCAGGTAATGTGTCTGCTAGAGGTGGCGATATTTCGCTGGGCGACGCTTTTACTTCGCACTTGAGCTCGTCTTTTATCAAATGGATTTCGGTAGGAGGATCGTTTGGCGAGCTTTCTTGGGAGTCGGTACCACTTGCGCCCGTTAATTCCAACCTTGGCTGTAGGGCTACAGGGATGACTTCGGCGATCGTGTTCATGCTGCCACTAGGAGACATGGAATCGATGATTAACGGAGGTTCCGTATCATCGCCTATGTCTATCTTGTGTTCTAAGCTGATTCTTCTAGTGGGCAAGTGTTGTAAACGATCATCAGCTTTCGGGACCGAGCTGCTTCTTTTGTAAGCTACTTTGGAAAGGTCGTTGTCGATTTTGACGTTAGAATCGCGTTCAGCGCTGCCATTTTTCCCATTTTTGTTGATTGTGTCAGCGAATTTGAAAGGCTGTTGCAAACTGTCTATGACGTTGATGGTTTCCATACGCTCCATGTACGGTGCGTTGTCATTGCATTCGAAGTACTGCTCACTGCTTTCTGATTCGGTACATTCGGAAGTTGTTTCGTTGCAAGACAGCATGTTGTCGGCTGAGTCATTTTTGGAGAGAGGTACTGGAACATTGAATGAAATAACTTAATGTATAAAATATAATTATTATGGATTACAATTATATCGTGCGTTGATACGTCTTTATTCGGAAGTCGAAGATTAGGTTACGATTTTTTATCGTAGAGAAGAGAGGCTTTTCTTACACTAAACTAGAAGAATTTGCTTTAGAAGAATCAGAGGGAGTGAGGCAGAATCTAGAGACACAAACAATTTATATTACATCACTTACTCTCATTGTGCATGTTAGCATTAATAAGGTTTTCGTCGTTGATCAGTTGCTTGCCGGTGGCGGCATACAGCTTGTTGATGGACGAGAAGAAGTTGCTGCTCTCCTTGCCCAGCTTGTGGATGGCTCGTAACAGGACTGAAAATAACATTGTTAGAAATAAATCAGACAAAAATGTTGACACATAATGTTAAAATATCAACTAAACTAGATAAGGGGTAGTTAAATTTAAATTTTATTACAGGAACAACAAGTGGGGTAGGTAGTTTTTGACACAGATTATGATAATCACTATAACTAAATTTTTAATTATTTTGAGTTGTGCTACTTTTATCCAGGTGTGCACTATTTGTTTAACTGGCTAAAATAAATAAATTGCAATTTAAACAGGAAAAAATAAATAAATACATAATTTAAATAATTTCTAAAATATGACCAAATTGGTTTGATTACCAAATATTGAGCAGCAAAAGAAACTGGTAAATTCCAGTGAAATCAAAGTTTTCTTACAAGACTGTCTAAGTCTGCTACTGCTGACTTGGGCTGGTTTTATTTAATTTACTTTAGATTACAACCACACTAAATGCCAGTATTTCTCTTTACACAAATTTATTTAGGTACTTCCCTATCACACATTAAAAATGCTGACTTACATGCACAGTTGATAAATAATGAAGTGTCTCCTTGCAAGCAGTCCATGTATGCATCCATGCTAGAAGCCGTAGCTATGATCTCCAGCAAAAACACAACTTCTTGTGGGTCTATAGCGGTCACATACTTATCAACAGTCTTGAGTATACAGTCCGATTTACTCTTAAACTCGTGTGCCATGAACTTCACAAAATTAACGGACACATTTATATCCTGGGACTCCGTTGACATCAAGATATTATACGCCAAATTCAATACCAGCATACGACATTCAGGTTCAAGCTTTGAAAACAGTTTTTCAATGTAAGTATTTTCAACGCCTATTAAGTATTCTATGATTAGATGGGGATATTCAGTGTTCCCATTGTTATACATGTAGGCTAGAGAATTAAGCAATGTAACATCATCAGGCAACACATTCGGTTGTCCTAAAAGAATATTGTAAACTATCATGGCAGCGGCAGAAGCGATCTTATCGTTTTGACCGACCAAACAGTTGAGTATGATTGCGTCAAATTTGTTCCAGATCATAATTTGATTGAAGGGATTGTTGACGACTAAGTTTCCTAGTGTTTGGATGAGCACTGTCATGCATGTTTCATACTTTTTCTGTAGTTCTTCGTTCAAGAATTCAACATTGGGATGTTGGTACTCCGTTGCGAGGATGAGCATGGAATCTAAGATGGAGAGTTCTTTGGAGATGTAAGTTTGCATCTTGGTGCCGGCCGCGGCGCAGGAGCGGACTAGCCTGAGGCACTGCTCCGCTACAGCGAGGGTGCTTCGGTTGTATGACGCTTGCTCCACATCCAGCCGCATTATATGCAGCACTTCAGCTATAAGCCGCAATGTGTATTCAGAAGCTTTCTTCCTGCAAAGTAATAACAGTACGTAAATAAATAATTGAACTCTATTTCTTATATAATATTTGCTGTATCATCAACAATATATTAACCGGTGTTTTTAAATAATATTTTATGTAATAACAAGGTTAATAAAAAAAGACTTACGGCCGCAATCGACCAGTTTCTGCGTCTCTAGAAAGTTGCGCTTCAGCTCGCAACATTTCTTCTACGGCGTCCCATTCTCCTGTCTCAAGTTGAAAATTAATAAGTTTGGCATCTAATAATATTTCCTCGGCAAACCATACACTTTTATCTCGCGACATTGTCGAGAAATTAAATAAAAACAAAATCTACATTTGCAGCAACACGAGAAAATATTTTTTGACATTGACAGCTGACTGACTGCGAGTCGAGCTTTAGACATACTCTCTAATCTGTGGAGTCGAGTTGACAATTTACTTTTTAAGGCTATCGATCAAGGTAACGATGATTAAAACATTTTTTTTGGAGTGATGTATGCCAAATTAAATATTTTTGTGATGTTTATGTCAGCATTCTTTAGCGTATTCTCGATCATTATAAATAAAAAAGTAAAAAACCAAACACAAAAAAAAAGTTTTCCATAGACAAAAAATATGTAGCCAGCAATAAAATATTCTACTAAATTAGCAGTTCAGTTGGTCGAAGTAAGATAAAGAAATTAAGAAGTCTTATTAAAATCGGAAATCTTACGTCTTACTTAGGTACTGATATTGTTTAATGGATTATCGTTTTGAATTTGGACTGTCGCTGCTAGAGAGATTTGCCCCTAAGGATCACCAAACGTATCAGTCGTCTGATACGTTTTGTCGAAAACTTGACGTAATTTGACTTTTCGATTGCAAAAAAAATATTCTCTCCACTCCGGTCAAAGCACAAAACTATCAGCAGACCAATAGGGCAAAAAAGTAAAAAAGAACCTAATTAGAAATTGCTAACATTTTTAAAAGTGATGATTTTTATTTATTTACAGTTATTTACAATTAATTTACAATGAACTAAAACATTATAGACAATTTGATGTAGGTAGGAAAAAATATATTTTTGAATGGTGTTATGATGGATGGGATATTATTTAGAAATTGGTAGTTATTTTTCATAGACTGTTCACCCTAAATTGATAGTCGCTTGCCTCCCGCCCCCGCTTCACCGTCGGTCTTCCGAGAATGGCATTTGTGTGTGAAATTGCATTAGTTTTTGTGTGAACAAGTGCATATTTTTGATTAAAAAAGTGCAGTGTGTTGTCCTTGCATTCGATTTCCGTTGTATTCCGTTAGTGCAACATTATGTGGGATTTTGTTGGTACAGTGTGTGTAAAATTTAGTAAATGACCCGTCGGGGTGGTATCCCGTGGATTGTTTCATTGTGCTGAGCAGTAAATGTAATGGGCAGGCTTCCCGCTAACATTACTGGAATTTAAAACATTCGGTGAGTCATCAACAATTTAAGTTCTAACGTTTGGTCTGACTGTTACCAATACGTGTTTTGGTAACGTCCTTTCGAAAACGTATCGTTCTGGAATTCGGTCTATTTCACAAGTATCATGTTTCCTACTCTATTTTTATGAATTCAAATTGTTTTCTAAAGCAACTCGCTTCCTCGTGTTTTAGATTGTTTGTATCAAAACAATATTATTTCCAGAGATAGTTGGAATTTTCGTTAGCTACAGAACCTAACCCTGCTGACAAAACGGTCAGTTTGTTCCAACTAAACCTTCTGGACTAGTCTTTTATTTATCATAGCCATAATATTTGCATGAATTATCTACTGAATCATACATACACTGCCAAATTACGTTATTATACCTGCTTCCTGATAAGATACTGTACATAAGTTGGTGAGCCTATAATCATAAATAGCTCATTGTTTGTAACACAACAATAATCACACCTCTATTACTCTGAAATAGGTACCTATATTGTAAAATAAAGATCTTTATTATTTTGTACTTACTTCATCACTGAAACCAATTTGACTCCAACATTTTAATTAAATTTACCCTAATCTAATCCTTTATTATAGGTAGATATTGAATGAATAACTTTGGGAACACTTGGGTAATCTGTCCATATCCAAGTCACCCAAAGATAGCCTTACTGTAAAATTAATGTTAGGTACTTTTAGTAGTACTTTCTAAGTTTAAACCAAGTTTCAGCTTTGATTCCTATGAGTGTGAGACAGCTACACACACATTTCCTATTTCCTGACTACACTTTTTAGAATAAAAATGTAAATAAATGAAATAAGCAAAGTTTGAAGCTAGATAACTCTTTTTTTTTATAAAAATTGATGTGAACAAAGATTGAATAGATTACTGCATTTATTTTATTTTGATGTCATTGTTTCAATTGAACAGCTGATTACCTTATATCACTAATACTGATACAGATACAGCTATTTTTGCACTGTACATACCTATCTTAAGTGAATATGTGTTTGGTATTTGTAATCGAATTTTATGTGAAAAATTAAGGTTACTTTCAATCTACTTGCACTTTTGCTTAGGTCAGTACATTAAAACATATAACATATATAAATTGGCTTCAGTAGTCTTTCACTTGTATGACACACTTATATGAGACATTTAAAACTGGTTTCAAAAGTTTTCAGAGAGAGAGGCTGATCCTGTCAAATATTTTTAATCCTGATACCAGCAAATAGTAGAATTTAACATTTTATTTTGTATTTCATTGAATAAAATGTCTTTTAAATGTTTGTAAAGTTTATCCTGTACACTTTTATCAAGCCAAACAACATTATGATTTTAAAATAAAGTTAGATTTTTGTAACTTGATTTTCACATAACTACAATAGTTCAAAAGTGGTTCCTCAAACTTACTTCTATACAAGAAAATAATAATTTAAGAGTACTGATTAATGATGCCACATGTTCACTTATTAGGTCTAATTCATTTACATATTATTATAATTTGTTATGANCGCAACATCCCTAGTCTGGATGTTTGTTACTCTCACGCAAAAACTACTAAAGGGATTTAGATGAAACTTTACAGTATTATTGTTTATAACCCAGAATAACATACAGGCTATAATTTATGCCGATCTGTGACACTAAATTTCACGCGGGTGAAGCCGCGGGCAAAAGATAGTATACTTGCGTGAACAGTGAGTCGACAGTACATAAATCTAAACACAGTAAATCAAAACTAATTATTAATTTTAAAAGTAGGTACCTAATTGGGGTTAGTCCCAACGGCCCCGGTGGATCTGCCCCGTCAACGGGGCGGATGGGAAAAAGTGTTTCAACGACCCCGGTAGTCATAGTCTTAGCGTTCAACGGGGTGGATGGAACACATCAAGTGTCAACCACCCCGGTATATCGTTTAACGGGGCGGATGGATCAAATCAAGTTTCAACCACCCCGGTATATCACTAAGCGTGAAAGATGACACAGATCTAAAAGGTTCCACCTCGGTATTGCATACCGAAAATAAAACCTGTTAATAAAATAAAAAAATATGTAAATAATAATCAGTTTTATTTATCAGTCACTGTTTAAAAAATCTACAGCATAAAAGTAAGTTTAAATGTCACACAATATAATGATCATAAACATATAGATTACGTTTAGAATCACAGATGCGCAATTGCATTAATCAGTCAATATTATAAAAATCTAATAGTCTAATGTGATAAAAAGTCACTCTAAAATTGTTACAAAATATTATTATTTTACAATCACAGATACGTAGTTACATTAATCAGTTGTTGATTAACAATAAAAGTAAGTTTAACTTTCACAAAATATTATGGTCATAAACTTAAAGATTACTTTTAGAATCACAGATGCGTAATTGCATTAATCAGTCAATATTAATAGCACTCTAATAGTCCAATGTGATAAAAAGTAACTCTAAAACTCCTCACTAACAAATAATAACAAAAAGTCTAAAATTGTTACAAAATATAATTAATATTTAAGAATCACAGATACGTAGTTACACAAATCAGGTGTTGATTAACAATAATATAGTACTTAAACTACTACTTAAATAAATTATTAATAACGAAAAAAAGTATTCTAAAATTGACATAAAATATTACGGTGACTAATTATGATTATTAGTTTTAGAATCACAGACGCGCAATAACATTAATCAGTCAATAAACACTTTAATGTAATTAAAAGTAACTCTTAAACCACAGAATAATAATAAGTACTACGTACAGAAGTTTTACTTCGCGAAGGTATTTAAAAAAATGTATGCTCAATGTCATTAACAATATGGTGTAATTTAGCTTGTCTCAAGAGTCAAGCAAGTTTGTCAGAAGTTTTGTTGACAAACGTCAGTGATCGGTACTGCGCCGAAGCTATAGGGCTGACTTCGGTAAAATGATGTGACGTGAGGTGCCAATCTGCAGAAAATGGCGGCGGAGGAAATACATGATTTAGCATGAATTATCATGAATAATATTAACTACTTATTTACCTCTCAGTGTCTTCAGGCAACTTAAAAAANGTAATTTATCAGCACAAGTAACAAATAATTAATTAGAATAAAGTAGCAGTAGAAGAAGTATAAAGTAGCATTGTTTTTAATACATATCCTGCGATGTACTCTTAAGAGTTAAAACCATGGTCCCTGTATAAGTGGTGCACTCATACCGATCCCAAGGAACCGTACTTACTCATAACAATAAGACACACACTGGTCCATGTATTCATGCACTTGACAAATTTATGTCTTGAAACTCTGGTAGGGTAAAAAAAATAACGAGATTTGACGATTTGTAAGAATTAATTTATTTTAAAAAGGTAAATAAAGATGTTTTTGGTTTTTTATTTAACACATTATCAGTTTTATCGGAATTAATTAATTTTCGAATCGATTCATACGATATCTTTCGATGACTTTGCGAATGCAGTACGATGATACGATTACTTTTACGTTGCGGCAATCACTAAAATTCGCTAAAATGACACTAATGACGTTTAAAAAGTGGCACGCTCGGCTTCATACAATTTTTGACACATGCTGCATCTATCCATATCTGTGCCCGATCATTTAAAATAAAAAAGTAAAAAAGCATAGACAAGAAATTAAGTTTTCCATAGACAAAAAATATGTAGCCAGCAATAAAATATTCTACTAAATTAGTAGTTCAGTCGGTCGAAGTAAGGTAAAGAAATTAAGAATTATACTGAAGTGTTATTAAAATCGGAAAACTTACGGATCGCTTAAATTTATTTTTTGGACTGTCACTGCTAGGGCGATTAATTAAAGTTTAAACGATGCTTTACCTCTAAGGATCACCAAATGTACAGTCGTCTCAAGTCGTCTGATACGTTTTGTCGTAATCTTGACGTAATTTGAATTTCCGCTTGCAATCAAAATATTCTCTCTAGTCAAAGCACAAAACTGTCAGCAGTCCAATAGGACAAAAAAGTTCTAATTAGCTTTTTATTTTAGTTAAGTTTTGTTTAGTCTTAAAAATTGCTAATATTTATAAAAAAAACATTTTGATGTAGGTAGGAATTTTTTTTTTAAATGGGGCTATTGGATGGCATATTATTTAGAAATTGGTAGTTTTTTTTCATGGACTGTTCACCCTAAATTATGATAGTCGCTTGCCTCCCGCCCCCGCTTCACCGTCGGTCTTCCGAGAATGGCATTTGTGTGTGAAATTGCATTAGTTTTTGTGTGAACAGTGAACAAGTGCATATTTTTGATTAAAAAAGTGCAGTGTGTTGTCCTTGCATTCGTTTTCCGTTGTATTCCGTTAGTGCCACATTATGTGGGATTTTGTTGGTACAGTGTGTGTAAAATTTAGTAAATGACCCGTCGGGGTGGTATCCCGTGGATTGTTTCATTGTGCTGAGCAGTAAATGTAATGGGCAGGCTTCCCGCTAACATTACTGGAATTTAAAACATTCGGTGAGTCATCAACAATTTAAGTTCTAACGTTTGGTCTGACTGTTACGAATACGTGTTTTGGTAACGTCCTTTCGAAAACGTATCGTTCTGGAATTCGGTCTATTCCACAAGTATCATGTTTCTTACTCTATTTTTATGAATTCAAATTGTTTTCTGAAGCAACTCGCTTCCTCGTGCTCTAGATTGTTTGTATCAAAACAATATTATTTCCAGAGATAGTTGGAATTTTCGTCAGCTACAGAACCTAACCCTGCTGACAAAACGGTCAGTTTATTCCAACTAAACCTTCTGGACTAGTCTTTTATTTATATTTGCATGCATTATCTACTGAATCATACATACACTGCCAAAATACGTTATTATACCTGCTTCCTGATAAGATACTGTACATAAGTTGGTGAGCTTATAATCATAAATAGATCATTGTTTGTAACACAACAATAATCACACCTCTATTACTCTGAAATTGGAACCTAATTGTAAAATAAAGATCTTAATTATTTTGTACCTTAACACTTTGAAACCAATTTGACTCCAACATTTTAATTAAATTTACCCTAATCTAATCCTTTATTATAGGCAGATATTTAATGATAAACACACTTGGGTAAACTGTCCGTATCAAAGTCACCTGAAGATGTCCAATACAACCTTTCTGTAAAATTAAAGTTGCACACAATACTTTCTAAGTTGAAACCAAGTTTCAAGATTGTGACCAGCCTGGCTGCCTGACCATACTTCTGTAGAACAAAAATGGCTCAAATGAGCAAAGTTTGAAGCTTTTACCCTTCTTTTATAAAAGGGAGGTGAACAAAGATTGATAGATTACTGCATTTATTTTATTTTGATGTCATTGTTTCAATTGAACAGCTGAATACCTTATATCACTAATACTGATACAGATACAGCTATTTTTGCACTGTAAGTACCTATCTAGTTTGGTAGTGTATATGAGTTTGGTATTTGTAATCGAATTTTATGTGAAACATTAAGGTTACTTTCAATATACTTGCACTTTTGCTTAGGTCAGTAACTTAAAACATATAACATATAGTGCTATAAATTGGCTTCAGTAGTCTTTCACTTGTATGACACACTTATATGAGACATTTAAAACTGGTTTCAAAAGTTTTCAGAGAGAGAGGCGGATCCTGTCAAATATTTTTAATCCTGATACAAGCAAATAGTAGAATTTAACAGTTTATTTTGTATTTCATTAAATAAAATGTCTTTTAAATGTTTGTAAAGTTTATCCTGTACACTTTTATCAAGCTAAACAACATTATGATTTTAAAATAAAGTTAAATATTTAGAACTTGATTTTCACATAACTACAATAGTTCAAAAGTGGTTCCTCAAACTTACTTCTATACAAGAAAATAATAATTTAAGAGTACTGATTAATGACGCCACATGTTCACTTATTAGGTCCTATTAATTTACATAATTATTATAATAAATGTTATGATTGTTTAGCCTCAAAAGACTATCAGTTAGTACTTATTTGGAGAGTAAGATAAGGAATCTACTTGAAGAATCTATTAATATAGAAAAATAAAATATATTAATTAATTTTATTCTTCAGAAAGCAGGTCATTAGATCATGAAACTAACTTGTATCTTTCAATTAGACTAATTAAACACTTAAAATTAGACATCCCAGTATCATTTTGACCCTTTTCTGGCTCATAAAGCATGCCAAGAGCATTTGATACAAGTTTATGCCACACAATGATTTGATCTGAATTAAAAGTGAGTTCTTTAGCAACCAGAAGCGATGTTTTGAAAATTTCCCAACACAATGCAACTGCTCTGCAAATTGTAAACTGTCGCTTAAGCGGAAATGTTGTGCTTTTTTATTGTTTCAGAAGTCAAACAGGTACTGGGTTCATCTGGTTACAGTTCTGCTCTGTATACAGAGGGAAAGGGATATTCCCTTGCCAATAAATATTAACAAGGATGTGTGCATAATAATTAATATACAATCATTGTAGATGAGATAGTAAAGAGACTACCAAACATATTAGAAAGAAGCTCTAGTCCAGTACTTAACAAATTACTATGAAATTAAATACAGATAACTTAAAATCTATATGTATATAGATTATATTTAATATAGATTTTATAAGAATATAGATTATATGTATATAGATTTTAAGTTAATATAATAATATGGTAATTTACATACCTGTTTTTTTCACGAAGAGATACGCGCCCGCGTCCGTTCTCACTTTCCACGTGAATGGAGGCCCCATTGGTTTCGTACCAAACTATCGCGAAATGCCCTCTTTCTGTCCCACAACTTTTTAATCCCCAAAATAAATACAAATACTTCCGCGTTTCGTAATTAAACGATCCGAACAGCTGATCGCAGGCTGACGCCATCAACATCGCGGTACTTTGTAGTTACCATTTTTTGTATTTTAATTAAACTTTCCTGCTTTTACGGACTAAGTGTTAGGTACTAGTTTTTTGTTTTCTATCTTTTATACCTAAGTGAAATAATAAATTATGACGAGCTGTCGGCAGCTTCGCTATAAATGTTTAGTGCTGTTTAGTGTCTCGTAACTTACGAGTCGTAAGTCATTTAAAACTTATTTGCCCATTGAACAGGTTACAAAAGGCGAACTTAACGTCACGTGGCATTCATTTTCTCCTCCAGTTAACCTTTGGGTTTTCGTTGTCCAGTTAGAGTACCCGTCTGAATAGCACCTGCACGTATAGCACCTTGCTTAGTCCACCACTTAGCAACCACCACTAGACTGCTGTGTTGTGGGTGCTGTTTGTGGACTAGGCTAGGTGCTATTCGTGAACTAGGCTAGGTGCTATTCAAACGAGTGCTCTAACTGGACTACGTCTTTGGGTTCACAGAGTAGGCAGTGCATATAACTTGTTCTAGTGCAGCGGTTCTCAAACTTATTTTGTCTACTGCCTACTTTGAGAATAAATTCTTTTTAGCGCCCCCATTTGTAGTCGAGAGTCGAGTGTTCAGTCGATGTCTAAGAGACCTCCTAGTAAATGACGCCTCCCAAGCCTCTACACAACGTCCCGATTTTTTTTCTGGGTCTCTTACCGCCCCCCTTTAAGCCTGCAGCGCTAACAAGGGGCCGTTATCGCCCACTTTGGGAAAGACTGTTCTAGTGTAAAGAAAATGTAATAATACTGTTGTGTTTGTTTCCAGGCCCATCAGGGATGGACGAAGGTTTGCTGAATGACCTCCTCGAGTGTTCGGTGTGCCTGGAGCGGTTGGACACGTCGTCCCGGGTCTTGCCGTGTCAGCACACGTTCTGTTTGAAATGTTTGAAGGTAATTTCAACGGCATTTATAGTAATACTGGCCGCCCGCGACTTCGTACGCGTGGATCTCGTTTTACCCTTAGGGGTTGAATTTTGCAAAATCCGTTCTTAGTGAACACCTACGTTCTAAAACGATGCAAAATTTGAGACTCCTAGCACTTGTAGTTTCTGAGATTTCGTGATTAGTGAGTGAGTCAGTCAGTGACCTTTCGCTTTTATAGATATTAGATAGGGCACAAAAACCTCTGGACTTCCATACGATACGACGCGACGCGAGTGTAGTTAGTTAAGGGACACGATGTTAGAGTCCAATATACCTATTAGATAGTGTTTAAACCCAGGTATCCACCAAGGTGTGGCGGAGGGGAGAAATGTTTTGAATAACCAATCGGACATTCATTCTGAATAAAATCCTCCGCCTTGGTGGAAAGTGGAAACCGGGTCTAACTGTTCTCTTAGGATTTAGCTAGTTCCAGTGAGTCCCAGTTTACTTGATATTGAAGTCATCGTTTGAACCAGCAAATGCTTTTAGCATCATAGGAAGTGGTGGAAAAGTTTATAGGTAGTTCGCGTCGTGGTTTTGAATTCCGGTTCACAGTTCAAGCAGATAGTCGTATTTAGATTTATGCATGTTTTATAGATCGGCATAGGTATAAACATAAAGATGACTAACTTACCTAGAGATGAACATGCTATTAACAGAAAAAACTTATTAGTATTAAAATCAATGGCGTATAAAAACTTATGGATTTCCAAGAGGCCTTAGGAACGTTGGGCTAAAATGTGAATTAAAATCAACTTTTCATATTTTCCTATTTATTTTCCGATAGAAAATTTTAGTGTAAATTTGAAATATATGTTACGGTCAAAGTGATAAATGTGAAAATTATGAATAATCGCCGGTTATTATGAATAATTACCGCATGATGTGGTAAATGTGATTAATATGAGATCATTTATGTGTGTATAAAACTAAATAGGCGGCTTAGGGGTGGCCCAAGGGCCACCCCCGCCGCACCTTAACCTATTTTTCACTTTAAATCAAAATATTATGTTATAGGCATCATGGAAAAGTAATATTATGCAAAAAACATTCCAAACTCATTATGCCAAATTATATTAATATATGATATCAAAACGTTCAAAAGTTTTGTTGTACACGAGCACGTACACAAGATGTTGTTCTTTTTTATTAAATTTGTTAGTACTAAGGTTGAATTATTAAATAATCACTGTTAAATGTGATTAATTTATCACTTTTACCGCGACTGTCGGTAATTATTCATAATAACCGGTTATTATTAATAATTTTCAATTTATTACATTAACCGTAACATATACATAGAATAGACACATGGGAGGTTTACCTCGTTATTAGGAAACGAAGCAAGTAACCTTCATACAGGTAGGTATAGTCAGCGTCAAATAGTTCGTGACACCCAAATTAGCCAAAAAGTTCGCAACACGTTTTTGTTTCAATAGGAATAAAGTGTTGTCAATTTTTCGGTCACTCAGGGTGTCACTAACTATTTGACGCTGACTGTGCAAAGACTGGCCGAAATAAAATAAAAACTAAAAAACCTAGATAGATAATAGCCATAGGGGGGCTATCCAGCTACTTCAACGCGTGAATTAGGCGCCCTGTCAATGAACGGGCGCGATGCCGGAAGCGGGAATACTGTTTTCCTGTCGTCACGCACGACGCAACGTTTGTTTGTATAAAATAACAGTCGTCACTTGAAGTGTTTCCTTCAGAAATCGACCGAGGGATTCTGTTACGTCATATTTCCATAATTATGGAAAACAATAATAATTGACATTCGATACAGACTGGAGTCTGCTGAATCATAGGTAGGCCTATGATTGATTGAATTTTAATATTTATTTATTATTTGTTTTTTGAAGTATAAGTTCAAGGATAGAGTTTTTGAGTGTAGATTTGTGCTTATGGTGCGTAAAGAGAATGAAGCTCAAAACTCTATACACTTTATAAATTTCAAGATTTTGACCAATCATAGCACAGAATATCTAAGCCTAGGTGCAGACAACCGATTTTTAGTCGGCCGATAGTTGGGCTCGATTCTAATTTGTGTGAAGAATCAATCGGTGTAATGTCCGCACTTCCATACATGCCCATTGCATACTGATTAACCCCCAGACTAAACTATCGGCCGACAAAAATCGGTGGTCTAGGCTAATTGAGATTGAATAGATTTGACTGTAACTTTTTGACTGTGTTTTAACAGTGTCGTTTCATAATAATACGCCCTACCCTACCTATACGTGTTAAGCAAATGCTTATTAATTATTCATAACCATGATATCGAAGTTTTGAGTCTTATCCTAGTAATTCTAGAACGACAAAAATCACTTCCATCCATTGTTGCGCGCTTCAACATAAAACAATCGCGATCTTTGATATCATTAAAAAAAAACATGGCTTAATTATGAAAACCTTATAAAATTTAAGACTAGGTAATTTGATAAAATCATAACCATTAAGTAGCTTTTTTTCGCAAGTGTATCAGCATTCCATAGCTGCCTTGCCTTCCTCGTTGTGCTTCGGTTGGTAGCAAAAACGTTTCGTGCTTCTCCATAATTTGAGCGGCTTTCACTCTTATCAAGACCTGATATTATTAAACCGTTCCCTTCGTAAGTGAAAATCAGTGCACGGTCACAGAATAAGTAGTACTTACGGTGGTCAACGAAATACGTACGTAATGACGTCAGGAGTAAAAGAAGAAAGAAGTTTAGTGTTCAGTCAGATCTCTACCTTAACTTATTAGCCTGCGAAAAGGTCCTGCTTATAATAACATTGTACAGCTTTTCTACCTTATAGAGTGACACTGGACCTCAATTGCAAATAGCTTCGTTCGTTCGTTTCAGCCAAATGACGTCCACTGCTGGACAAAGGCCTCCTACAAGGTTTTCCACAACGCACGGTTCTGCGCAAATAGCAAATAGCTTACTTTTGGTTATTCGTTTTGTTAAACATTCAGTTCTAAGTCAACTTTTCTGTACAATCAGTGTCAAAATCACCCATTCCTCAACAATATCTATAAAATGTCTAAAAGCTACACTTTTCATGTTTCCTTTTACCATTTTTTATGAAAATCATGTAAACTGAACATAATAAATACGCGAGCCGAATTAGATTGATCGTTTATTATGTACGAAACATCTGCTGGTGTGTACATTGTACAGTGCATAAAACATCAAAGTAACAAAACGCGAACGCAACGCTCCCGTAACATTATAAAACAGTTAAACGGGCCACTCGCTGAAAATGGGGCACGCTGTATAAACACCGCGCGTACAGGCGATGCCGAAGTCGCTTGTTTTCCGCCCGCTTCTATTGTCGCTGTTGGTGCATGAATGCATTCTGAAATCTGAATGTAAGCCGTGCCTTATTGTGGAGCCATCGTTTACCCATAAATGAGTAGGCACTAGCTTTTGCCCGCGGGTTCGTCTGCGTGTATTCGACCTGTCACAGAAAGTATTCCCCCGCCTAAGAGCTACGATCTATCCTGTTTTTCCCTGGGTTTCAAATAATTTCTATACTAAATTTCATCTGATATGATAACACTTATCAATACAATAAGAAGTGCCCCCAATTTGGAGTCTTTGGAAAATTATTTCAGGATTATTCATTTATAATTCGTAAAAATGCATTATCTATTTTGGTCGTGAATTCGCGGTTTCTACGCAAGATAACGCAACCCATGCTCATCTTTTCTTTATGGATTCAAGATATACGGAACAACTTTTGTCGTTGATTGTACAAACTGAAGAAATTTCGTTACGTCTAAAAAATATGTTTATTAGAATAAGGGCGAGACGAAAATAGACAAAGCTTATGGGGAGATTTTTAATCGAGGAGAGAACGTAAGTAGGAGAACGTATCTTGTTACTCGTTCTTTTAGCTAATGGGAAAGGGGGATGGGGAAGCGCTTATCAGATGTTTTTTGACTGATAAGCATTCATTTGTTTTGTTTATTGGTTCTGAATTTGAAAAATTGGGGTTCAATAACCTAGAGATGAATAAAACCATTGACAGTTTTGAGTCACATAGTTAAGGTCTCACTCATGAGTGACTCATCTGAGGCATCCACCGAGTTGTTCACCAGATTCGCGACTTACTGCGTTGAGACTTGAGTCACTTGTTGCCAAATCAGGTGGACTAAACAATAACAAAGTTAAGAATGTCATATCTTGCACAATATTATGATTGTGTGCTGTTGTATTGATTTCAAGCGTTTTAAGAAAATACTGTTTAGTGGTACAGCTTCAGTTATTCTTGTTCACACATACATGATGAATCTCTCAAATTTTGGACTGAAAGGATCATATTGGTTTTAAATGCTCTTATTAGAAATCGAGAAAAGTTAATAATGATAATATTAACGTTGCGTTAAATGTGACTGGTACTGATTTATAGATCATTAATGCCATGTATCAACAAGCAAATCACAGGCTCACAGCTGTTCTGGCTCACCGAGACCGAATATTATTTTTAGAACTACATGATGCAGTCGTGCTCGTGACCGTTAAAAAATATGAAAATAGATGCCATTTGCCATCGAAATAGTGTGTACGTGCCATACGATTCTATCAAATGCATTATGCAGAAGTATTGCACTTGGAATTTCTAATCTTAGATATAACTTGTATTTCCCATTCAGAGACGTTTGAAATTATCATAGACTGAAAATGCCGTTATTGTCTCTACGTTTTCATGTCGTAATTATCATTGCCAATATTCATTTTTTTTTAAGATAAGATAATACTTTATTGCCTCGTCTGTGATTGTATGTGTTTATGATAAATCTGTGGTATTATTTAAATAATTATATCAACTACAGAACTTGACAGATTCTTCTTGATGGAAAAAAAGTTTAACTCAATTTAGCTTTTATAAAGGCCTTTCAATGCACAGCGACTACTTTACTAAGCATGCTGCTTAAAACGCAATCGTCAAGTTAGTTTTACAACAAAGGATTGGGACGACTC